TTAATAGTAAGTAATGTAGTTAGTTTAGAATTAAGGGATGTAGAATACATTCATGCTTTAATATGTGCTTATAAGTACTAATAAATAGCCAATATCCTACTAATATGCATGCTAATAATCAACTAGTTATAAGTGACAACTGGACCTTAAACTAAAGTGAAACCGTTCTAGTTTTAGTTAACTATAATAATCCTGTAAGAGGTCAATGATGTAGAGGAATATTTCAGGATCATGAGACTATAAAGAGAATCAGATTTTAAGACGTCTCAAGAAAAAGATTAAATCAGTCCTTCCAGAAAAACGCAGTTTTTTTGTGATTGTTGCGGGCAAAAATCCTTGATTACGCGGCCCGTTTTCTTTAAAAATGCGATGGAATATGCGGGATATTTATGCAATTTTATTATGAAATTGTGGGAACTTGCAAAAACTGCAGTTTGATGAAAGAGAGAGAAAAAAGTGATTCCCCAACACCTGTTCTCTCTAGGCTCCTACCTTACTGTGAAGAGTCATTTCTTATTCCTTCCTATGATAAGCAAGCATAACTACATCACAGAAAGAGCTGGAATATTTCAGTTCATCTTGTTTTATTTCAGATCTTAATAAACACATCAAACTTACAAAACATTGATGAGTCAAACGAGTTCTGTAGCTTTACAAAGAGAATATGCTACAACTTCTGTAAAAATGAATAAATAAAATATAAAAATAAAGTGTGCTCCTGTTTTACAGCTTTTCGATGATGTTCACGTCGCGTGATTACGTCACTTCATAACGTTCCCATGGCAACAGGGGGAAACGGCTCTTGAGTGACGCGAACGCAACATTTTTCAACTTTCTGCTGAGATATATGTGACTTTTTTGCAATGAAAATGCGAGGATTATGAAATCCTGAAGCCCCGCATATTTTGCACGGAAATCGGCAATTTATGCGGCGAAAGTGCGGCGTATTTGAAAAAATGCCCCCGCATAAATATGCAGACTTTGGCTGATTATGCACTGAATCATGCGATCGCATAATCACGTTTTTCTGGAGGGACTGTTAAATTAATTACAGTGATGAAAATCTGCAACATCGAACAATGTAAACAAATTCATCCATATATATAATATGCATAAAGATCATGATTAGTCACTCCCTTAAAAAAGAAAAACAAACACACATCAATATCAGTGTTTTAGTCTCCAAATGTTAAAGACTAAATGAAAGAGTTGTCTCGTGTGCGAAACAAGCCTGATATATAACTTTAAGAGAACGTACGTTGTTGGACAGCGTGTCTGTGAGCTCCAGCACGGCTCTCTCCACATGTTTGTCCTCTTTACTGTAGATCCGGCAGAGGTTAGACAGCAGCCTGAGCTTGTCCTGCTCAGATTTACAGCGCGGGCGAAACATCGACAGCAGATTTTGAGCTGTGCTCAGTCTCATCTCATTCTCGGACTCGCTGCAGGAGAAACAATCACACATGAAATCATCTGAATATCTGAAAACACAGACTTCATCAGATCTTCTGACCTCAAGTCCTTCGGCCCTTCATCTAAAACATCCCTGTCAGGGTTCAGACAGATCTGGACCATCAGTTCTACAGCTGGTTCTCCCCAGTCCGCGTCTCCTCGGGCCCGGTTCAGGTGCGTCAGGGCCTCGGTCACATGGTAGGTGTGCCTGAGGTCAACCATCACACAAACAGCCCATCACTCTCTTATAAACACCATTGAGAATAAAGACTAAGAGACTAAAAAATCAGGAGAATTTTATTATATTTTTATGAACTTGACATTATCTCTTTCTAAAAAAATCTCAGAATGTAAGTCATATTTGACCTATAAATCAAAATAAATAAAAAAATATTAAATTATAAAGCACAAAAATTTTAGGACCATTAAGATATTTTATATTTAGTTTTCATGAACTTTGACAAATGACTCACAAACAAATAAAATTTAAAAGTCATTTTACCTATAAATTCAATGGGGGGAATGAATGAAATATATATATACACACACACACACACACAGTTTGTATAGAGAACAAAGAAAAAAAACGAAATTCAATGAAATCGAAATTGAATATTAAATGAAAATTTTTTTTGTGAATTTTTTTTGGTAATTAAAAAATGAATTACTGAAGAAAATTGCTCAAAATGTTAATGATCCTAAAAAATATTTTCTTAATGAGAAACAACCTTCTCTACCATCCTTAATCTTTTCAACAGACTAGTGTTCACTGACCAGAAGTAAAACCCCTTGCAGTAATTAAACCCCGCTTCTCTGACCGACAGCAGACAGAACTTTTCACACGCCTTAAAAACAGACTGGACGTCGTCTAGTTTCCCCATCCTGCGCAGAATGTGTAGAAACTTGGCCATGGCATGAAAGTTGTCTACCGTACATGGAAACAGACATGAAATATTTGAATGTAATAATTATGTTTGAGTTATGTCAGAAACACACCTGGGTTCCGCTCCATTATACAAGCATAAATCTTCACTGCTTCCTCTTTTTGGTTCTTCCAAAACAATGTATCAGCCAACAGCTGAGGATAAAACCAAACACACATACAGTCAAACCAAAAATATTTCAGACACCAGATATCATTTTTACTAGTGGGTGCAGGACACTATAGTTCATTTATGTAAGTGAGGAGAGCAAAATAAAGTAAACTGTGACATATTATACCCAGAAAATTATTCATACTGTAAAATCTATACAATTTTGGGACCAAAATGATTCAGACACTTTGAGCTGACCATGTTCTGCTGAAGTGGTGCTAATGCTCTTTTTACACACAGACTGAACAACATGAAGCATTGCTTGGTCACTGGTTGAGCTAAACTGGTATTATCTAATTGTGTAGTTCAATTTAACAGCTGACAGATATTCAACATAATTCATGAGAGTCTAAGAGAAGGACGGACAAAACCAGTCAAATATCCACTGAGTTCTGCTCATATTTTATTACCATTTTCAAAACTATAGCGAATAAACTGTGATAATGTGAGAAATGTTGAAGGAGTCTGAATAAAATAAAAACGTTACCATTGAGGCAGCGGTGTGGTTGTGGTTGAGCTGCAGTATCTTCACACACAGTTCCTCGCTATAGTCCAGTTTCTGATGATCATAGTGTAACTGAGCGAGATGAAAGAGGATCTGCAGGAGGACAAAATCGAGCATGACAAAATGTGACATAGTAAAACATTCCCTCCAAATCTCACGACTACATTCACTGACTGACCTCTTCATTGTCTGGGCTGTGATTTAAAGCGTCTGTATAGCGTAGTTTGGCCATTTCCAGGTCGTGTTTGAGGTGAAACTCATGAGCCCAGTCACAACAGATGGACGATAACAACTTCCTCTCTTCCTCTAATTCTGCTGGATGCTCATTTGTAACACGGCAAACTACTTTTTTCTGGATATCGTGTGCCTGACAGTAGAGCAAAAAGACACTTATATTTGTTTGCACACAAAAAAACTTGCCAACACGTTGCAATCCATTTGTTCTTCATGTCAGAAGTAACATGTTTGCTTTAAGTACATCAGAAACTGAACAGGGCATCAGTTTATTGTCAGGAATTGGTGCGACATTGTAGACAGCATCACTGATTATAATGGGTGCTATTTGACTTTGTCGCGTCGTATCGTGCCGCTCGCGTATCAAAACCGTTTTAAAGGGGAAAATAATCGCTCCGACAGAAAACACTTGCCTGAAAACGTTTGTGGTCCGTCACTGCTGTTATATCTATGGCTGTGTCCAAAATCGCCTCTTATACCCTTAAATAAGGCACTATTTGCACTATTTGAGGGGACATCCATTTATAGTGGTGTCTGAAACCATAGTGGACGTTATCGAGTGCACTCATTCAATCCCATAATGTACGCTCAACGGCTAGAGAATACCCATAATGCACTGTGAGAGTCGTGTACTGAATGAATTCCCGCATCAGACCAGAAGATGGCGCACACACCTGAATCATCCATCCATCCATCCGTTTTCCAAACCGCTGGTCCAATGTGGGTACAGCGTAATATCACACAGGAATAAATTCCGTTTAATTGATAATTGAATTGTTTAATTATGGTTTAAGAGTTCAAGATACACTACCGTTCAAAAGTTTGGGGTCAGTGAGAATTTTATTTTTATTTTTTGGAGGAAAGAAATCAATACTTTTATTTATCAAGGACAGTAAAGACATGTATAATGTTACAAAAGATTCTATTTCAAACAAATGCTGTTCTTTTGAACTTCCTATTCATCAAAGAATCCAAAAAAATAAAATAAAAAAAACTGTACAACTGACAGACCAACAACTGTTTCAACACTGATAATAATAATAAATGTTTCTTGAGCATCAAATCCTCATATTATACTGATTTGTGAAGAATCATTTGACACTGAAGACACTGACACTGGTGATGCTGAAAATTCAGCTTTGATCACAGGAATAAATTACACTTTACTATATATTCACACAGAAAACAGCTGATTTACACTGGAATAATATTTAATACTATAACTGATTTTTGTTGTATTTTTAATCAAATAAGCGCAGCCATGGTTAGCAGAAGAGAATTCTTTTAAAAGTATTTCAAATCGTACCGACCCCAAACTTTTGAACGGTAGTGTAAATCTTTTCATCTTACTACTGGAGCAGCCAGTTTGCTAAGTTTCAAATAATTATTAAACAACAAGAACAAACGATTTCATTCACTCCCTCAAGTGAACTATATTAGTGTGAATGAGGGTATAGGATTTTTGCCACCACTGACCAATCAACAACAGACTGCACCAGCTGACCAATCAGAACAGACTGGGCTTTTCAGAAAGGCAAAACAGGAACTTTAAACAGAGCGTTTCAGGCACAGGGTTGAAGCAGCAATGTACAGTATAAGAAAAATGTTTTTTTTTTTTTTTACTGTAAATAATGTAAATGTATTCTAGCAGACCCCTAGCCTGGTTAAAACCAAACCATTCTCAGTTGTAACTGAGTTATGGTCTGGCAAAGCATCATAGACAAATCATTTCCAGAGGGGCGTCACCAACGGACGTCGCGGATAGACCTAAACCCAATCAGAGCGATGAAGGAGATGACGTATGCAGAGCGGCGGAGACACATCTCCGAGTGTTGTTCTTTGCTCGGTTTTTAACAAAAAGGAAACGTTCAAATGGCTTAAAACAGACGCGATAGCTGATTGGAACGAGTGATGTTCGACGGCGGCATCCATCTTTGTAATGTAGGCTACAAAATCTGCTTCAAAATCCCAGCGCTGTCGCCATCGTGTAAAGCCCGCCCCAACGCTTCTGATTGGTGCCGCGATTTCGACGGATTGGAAATGGGCTTGAATGAGCTCTTTGCCAGACTAACTTTCAGAGCAAATCTAAATTTGCCGGAAGTTGTCTGGGTTTTTCCAGGCTACCAGACCCCCAAAACTTGTAAATAAACATATGGGCATCTACCGTTGGATATAACTTTTAAAATACTCACAAACCTTTTGCACGACGTCCAGAGCGGACTCGTTCTTGGCCCGTAGCACTTTTACTAACAGTCGTAACACTTTTACATCATTCATCATTGTAGTCAATGCAGTAGCTGCAAAAGCAGAGAGAAAAATCTATCTGAGAACAATAATACCTGTTTCTTGTGGCATTCATTCATGTTTATTTAAGTGGTAATTACTAGGTTGATGTTCCAAGGCCTTCTCCAGGACCTGCTGAGCTTCCTCCAATCGTTTGAGTTTAAGCAGCAGTTCGGACAGCTCAACACTCAAACAACAGTCCAGCGCATCGGTCTTCAGAGCCGTCTCATAGTAGCTCACCGCCTGAAACATGAGAAGCAAACCCTTCTTTTAACTTTTATCAAAGTAAAAGTCCTCTGTAAACCTGTAGAAGCCACTTGCCTTGTGATATTCATGAGCCTTCACTAAAGCCTGGCCTATTTTCTTGGCTAATGTGTATTCAGGAGCCATCTTCTCTACTTCTTGGTAGATCTTGACCGCTTCCTCTGGCTTTAAAAACAAGATTTTTTTTTATAGTTCATAAAGATTTTGTGAGATGTTTGGTAATGAGAAGCCAAATGAAAATCCCAGAACATGAAATATATACCTGGTGTATGTTCATGAAGGCATCAGCCAGCAAGATGCTAGTATGAGGTCCTGGAAGCTGCTCACTTATTTCTCTGAAACATTTTTATCTTAAGATGGCAAGTAAACTTCCACATGCTTTAGCAAAAACATACTTTTTTAAAGATACTAAAGAAGTTTTCTTACAGCTTTAGAGTGAGTCTCTTATCTCACCCATATTTCAAAATAAATAATAAAAATAAAAAGATTTTACATTGTGACATTATTTTCATGATAATCATGTTTATTTTACCCCAAATTCTAATTTTGGAACTTTTCTCATTAGATTTGAAAAAATATTTTTTTCCTCTTAATGCACTTTTTCCAAAGTTACTACCTACTCAGCATTTCCACATCAATAACTAGGGAAAAATTGCCATATAGATATTTTTTATATTATTTTTTATTTCATGTCATTTGGTGTAATTTAGCAGCAGGTTTATTAGGCTGCTGTCACTTTAAGACCTGACAGATGGATCCATTATACTGTCACACATGCGTTTTCTTTCTTAACTATTTACGTTCACTTAAAACATGACTGTGTTTATGTGAATACTCGCCATTTTGACATTATTTTGAGTGTATTTGACTGTTTAAGAGCAATAAGCAGCGTTACTGCTAAACTCCAACCGCATTTGGCGGGTTGGCGAGTGTTAATGTCAAACCCTTATTTTTACTTTATTCTATTTTAAAATTTACAATTTTGAGAAAAATGATGTGGACATGACCTGTCACTCATAAACAATGTAAGTAGAGTTCTCACCTGTAACATGCAATGTAAAGCTTCTGGTTTCTTCTCCTCTCCAGGTAAATGTGAGCCATTTTCTCGCGGGCTTGGATGTAGGTTGATTCAGTAGGCAGAATGTTTTGCAGGATGGCCACAGCGGCGTCCACATCATCTCTCCCCAAAGCCAGATCCACATTAGCAAGCATGACACGCGTCTCCTCTGGTGTCCCTTTGAAGAGCAGAATGGCGTCTTGCAGAACTTTAGTGGCCTCGTGCTGAGGAAAGAGAAGGTTTCACAGCATTCTTAAGACACAAGAGAGCTCAGAAGGGGCTGGTTGGTTCAAATGTTTGTTGAATTTTAGGGTATACCTTTGGTCAGTGTTGGGGAAAGTTACTTTAAAAAGTCATACATTACAATATTACGTTACTCCCTTAAAAGTAACTAGCAACTGTGCTGCCATTCTGGATAATGGAAGAATAGGATGCAGGAGAAGAAAGTTTAACACTTACTTTGCCAAAAAAAAATCTAAAGTCATTGTTACTTATCATGGTTTAACTGAATCATCAAAAGTCAGAAGCAAGTACATTGGTCAATAAAGTGAGATGAAATGCATAAAAAATTATGTTTTATTTAACATATTTAGCTTTTGGAGGTTTGCATAGTATTCTGATTCTGTATTTCACTAATTCTATTAATTTTGAGGAATATTGAATCTTTTTTATGTGCAAGTGAGATGAGTAAATGCTCAAAATGTAAAAATAACCATCATGTTTACACATAACGCCTCTGCACTTCGATTTGTCTCAATAAGGACAAGAGAGCTGTAAGACAATAAATGGGAAAACAATGTAATCTGCGTTACTTATTTTAAAATTTACAACAAAATATCTGTTACTTTTTCAAAGTAATGCATTACTTTACTAGTTACTTGTAATGAGTTACCCCCCCAACACTGCCTTTGGTGAAAGTGCAGACTGGACCTGTTGTCCGTTGAGTCTCAGGGCCTCTGTGAGCGCCAGGTACACAGACACTCGCTCACTGCTGGTGACTGAAGACTGCGGGCCCTCTGAGGGCCTGCGGACCCCTGCCATGTTCATTGTGATGTTCAGGCACTGAATAGCGTTCTTCAGGTCTCCAGACCTCAGCAGAGCACGAGATTTGAGCAGATTGAACTGGAATCGATCTCGAACCTGTAAAAGACAAAATCACAGACATGAGCTCAAGATATAAACACACAAATACCAGAGGTCCAGTTACACTAACGTTCATAAAGAAATTCATACTTTTATACAAGATACAAGACATTTCGCTAGGCGGCCATCTTTAAAACGCCTCTCGGGCATGCAAGTGCAGCTCCTATCTCTTTGAATTGGGAAAACATCAAATTCTCGAGAGTGAATTTCATATTTGAAATCTCCAATGAAATCTGACAACTGTCTCATCCATTTTGTTTCTAAACGCTCAAATCAATACAGAAAACGAACATTTTCAGGCTGGAACAAGCTAATGCGCATGCGTAGTGGAAGTGTGCGTATGACTGTTTCTATAGGAACCAGAGCTTCTAACGGCAGCTGCACTGACTTAACCAATCGGCGATTAGCTCTTATTTAGAAGGCGGGACTTATTCCACCATATAGAGCATTGCACTTTTCCCCCATTCAAAACAATAGTAGAAACGCATCTTGTGTTATTCTATAGTCTTTGCTTTTATGCAGCAAGGACACATTATATTAAAGTCATAAGTGGCAGAAGGAAAACCTTCCATTTGAAATCTAATGGTCAGAGAGATAGTCATGAAAACTAGTGGACTTCAAGGGGGGGGAAAAGGCTTCTCCAAATACAGTGCATTTCACACAAGAAAAAACAATGGGTCTCATTCATGAAACTTTCGTAAATATACGAGTAAATATATAAGAGTGATTTGCGGGTAAAGAGACCTTCCCGAAAACTCATCTCCTGATTCACAAATACTTCGTAAACGTCAGATGTGATAGTGAAATGTGTGTGTGTGTGTTAATGAATTCCAATCAGTCGTAAATGGGACGCACGTGCACGCTCATTCTCAATTACCATAAATCCTGCCCATTAAATCCGACTGACAACTATATATGGGCATCATATTATGACACCAAACGAAGGATTTCAACGTGTCTTCTCAAAAGCGAATGAAAAAGAAAAATTTCTCAGATGCAGAAATCGAAGTTTTATTATCAGAAGTTCATTCGAAACACCACATTTTATTTTCAAGCGTACATAGTGGCGTATCAGGTCCTAAAGAAAAGCAAGCTTGGCAGCATTACAGAGCAGTTAATGGAGTTTCATCTGTTAATCAAACAGTCCCAGAAGTAAAAAGAAAAAACGTATGTAATTACTAATACTATATATAATATTTTTTCAAAATGCTGTGTAAATATGTACCCGATTAAGGTGAATTAAAATGCAGCCTTAGTTATTAATGAGCAAAACGTTCGGATGTTCAACTCACTATTTACGCGTGGCTGGGAGCAGGTGTAGATTTCTTTCGAACCAACTAACATTTGGAAAATACGAACATTTTAATGAATCCGAAAATTTACACCAGAACCACTTTACACACGATTTACACAAAAATTCGTTCTGCTCGTGTTTCATAAATGACACCCAATGTACGTGACTGAACAAAAGCTCCTCCTCTTTCACCTGGAAGTTGATGCTGACTCCAGCCTCCAGGCAGCTCAGACACGAGCTGTGGTCTCCAGCGCTCAGGTGCAGTCGGGCCTGCAGAAGGTGGACCTCCGGCACGGTCGGCTCCTTCTCCATGCACAGGTTCAGAAGCTGCTGGGCTGTCCTGTGATCTCCTGCAGAGGCATTCTGGGAATGTTATCACTACAGCGTTTATCATAACCTCAGGTGACACATTTAAATGTTCCCCTATCTCGACACACTTGCCTAGAAGGAACTTGACGTAGGCCATATAGTAACAGCTCGCTGACATGCCAGGAATGGCTTTGACGATCATTTCTAAGATCATATTTGCGTGTTTGAGCCAAAATGGTGGAGTTTGTCCAGGAATGAGGAGAAAATCCTGTGAAATCACACCAAAAAATAACTAATTGACTAATTCCAGAAGTAAAAATCCTCTTTTCTTACAACTTACATTTGCATTCATGCATCTGTCAGATTCTTTTATCTAAAGGGACTTACCCTGCATTACATTTTTATCAGTTCTTGCATTCCCTAGTAATCCTTGATTTTGCTAATGAATTGATATAGGATAAACACCTGCTTGGACTCCAGGTGCATGCGCACTATTCGCAGGAGGAAATTGAGGTCGAGCATCTGCAGGTATTCGACACCATAATTTAAGCCACGGAGAGCAGAGAAATGAAGCTCTGCGGAGTCTTTCAGAAACTGTATCACCGTCTCCTCGTCTGCTTTCTGCTTCCTGGACAAAATGGCCTTCAGCAGAGCAACTTCCTGTTTAATCAAACATATGTACATCACAGTTACACTACACTACTAAAGGCATAATCAGGACTAATTATTACCCATCTAAACATTCCCTGAATACGGTCTAATGCCACTTATAAACGTGTGTAATAAGAAGAGAGTCTGTTTATAGAAATTGTTATTTTTCAGCTTTTTACCGCTACGTTTCCAAGAGACTCCTGCACTTCGCAGAAGAACGCGAGCTGTTGGGCGGCTTCTTCAAGCTGATCACACATCAGCTGGCATCTGATCGTGCCTATGAAGATTAAAATATGTTAATGCATAGATTTATGTCTATACTATAGCAACTTTTGGAATTTAACAGATTTAAAATGAAGCCTGTTTTAGGACTATTAAGATTTTTTTGCAACTTGACTATTTTAAATGACAATTAAAAACATATTCCCTCAAATCCACGTTACAAAACTCTCCTTATTACTGTAATACCATAATGAAAATAATCTGCGAACACAATAAGGTCCCATTAGTTAAGGCATCAACTAACATTAACAATGAGCAATGCATTTGTTACACTTTGTCAACAGTTACAGTTGTAAACATTAAAATAAAATAGTTTATTGTTAGTTCATATCAGCTCAGTTTGACATTGCATTACAGTTTAGTACAGTGATGATAATGTTGCTGCCTGCATGTGACGATGCCGTACCTACTAACGCTGATGTGCATTTGGGGTCTGTTTTCAGTGCTGCAGAGTAGCATTTATGTGCATCTTTATTCTTGTCTTGGAGACTGAGCAGATCGCCGAGCTCGCAGAGGACATCAGATGCTGGTGCACGTGACGAAACCCGACGCACAAACACAGTCAACATCTGAAGGATCTCGGTGTTGTGTCCACACTGCAGTGGGGGAGATTATGGAGCTTTTCAGAGACTATACTGCAATAACCAGGACGGATATTATTATTATTATTATTATTTATTTTTTATTTGTTGTTTTTACTATTGGTAAATCTGTTATACTTTACAGCTACTCTCTGGTTCATATGCTTCCATTCCCTCACTTAGATACATTTACACACACACACGCACGCGCACATTATCAGAATTGACTTTTGTTGGCTGTAAGCAGAGGTGTGAAGTCCAAGGGGTCAGAAAGTAAAAGTCCTGCCATATGTTTATTCCACCCATGAACTGATTTCACACCCAGCTGATTTCACTAATTAGTTCTCTCTCCTGGCTGGAAAACTGCTAATTAGCAAATCCAGGTGATTGGAACAAAATACAGAGGAGGACATTTACTTTCTGAACCTGTACTTTACACCTCTGATTGTAAGTTTGTTTGTTTGTTTATTTTGTATATTAGCACATGTATATAGTGTCACAATTTGTTTTTGCATAATTACAATAAAAATAAATAAATAATAATAAATAAATAAATAATCAGGACGGATAGATTAGTCTCAAGCCAGTGAAACAAGCTCCAAATCAAAAACTAATAGCTCTGAAACGACCCAAGGGCAAGAAGCATCATGGAAACAGACACTTAGGGATGCAAAAAACCCTGTGAGGACGGTGTGTAATAAACAAGCCTGGTCTTATTAACACATTAGCGCTGACAGTGTATAAGCAGACAAATGTTTAGTGATTATATTGAGAGTGATTCGCACCAGTCGGCTGATGGGTGCTGTGATCTCCAGATGCAGGCTGGGATTACTGGGCTCAGAGATCTCAACTGCGTTCATTAAAGCTTGAAGACGCTCTTTCACCTGAAATACACAATGGAATAACATTTGTGGGTCACAGACAAATAAGAAAGTCTGAGATAAAAGGAACAGGAAGCTTAAAAAAAACTAAATTTATATGGTTTTCAGGTTCTTAGGGTACATTTACACAACAACGGTGTAATAAAAACGGAAGCGTTTCCCTTTGCGTATAGACGACAACATTGTCAAAACGATCCCCGTTGTTCACACAGATCGGCAAAAACGGCTAAAAACGCTCTATTCTACTGCCAGCCCAGTAGATGCCGATGTCACTTTTTAAGAACATGTTACACGCATGTGCATGACGTCACAGTTGTTACAAATTTGCGTTTTTTGAAATTTCTTCATGTCTTAAAATATCTTGAATGTAACTCGACACCCTTGCCTCATTTAGTACGCGCGGTTCTATGAATATGCAAATGAGCCCCGCTTCCACTCACTCCCTCAGCTCAGAGATCCACTGGTTGACGATCACACGTTGATCTGATTGGTTACAAGGTCGTTTGTGACGTCAGAAACACCAGCGATTTCAAACCGTGTTTTTGAGACTGTCTTTGGTTCACTGCAGTTTAAAGCAGAAAATACTCAGCAATGCTGTCGACTTATGAACTTACACATGGTGTGTCTTAAAGCGTATTAAACACCACATAGACACAAAAACAACATTAAAAACTTGATTTTCACCACAGGGGGACTTTAAAATAAGTGCTTTCATAAGTATAGAGTGGTATAAACGATTTAATTCAGTTTTTAAATAGTCCATTTACACTTATAAATAAAAAGAAACAGAATTACCATCTCCATATTTCCATCCTTAGCCGCAGCAATAACAGTCATCATTTGAAGAGCTTTCAGATCATGCCCGTCTCTCTCCAGAACTCTACACATTTTAAGCAAAGTCACTGAATAACGTCTAAAACTACCTTTTCAAATAAAAGCTCAGAAGAACAGTGAACAACACACACCTCCGGGCGACGTCCTCTGTTTGATGCCAGTCACGCAGAGACATGAACACCTTCATCTTCACGACGAGTGCCGGGCTGAAGTCTGGATGAGAGACTATGATCTGATTGGCAATGTCAAGAGCGCACTGCTCATTCTGCTTCGCCATGAAGAACTCAATCTGCACGTCAAAGAAACAGTTTAGTCCCTGTAAGATTCAAAATACATCATCCGTTTGCTTCTAAAGACAGGTTTTACTTTTCCCATGAGTCCAAATAAATTTCCCGTGTCCTGAACACCGCTGTCAAAGTAACGTATAGCCTGATGTCTGTTCTCTTCCGTGTCAGAGTTCAACACTATCCAGCCTTTGAGAATAAGCCCCTGGTAATAAAGAAAAACAAGTTGTGGCCTTGTGTTTAGTGCATACCAGCAAGTTCGAATGCAATATTTCCAATTACGCTCTCGCAATCCCCATTAAAACAATCTATAACGTTTAACAAAAACTCATGAACCACAAGCTGAAGGTGGACGGTTTTACAATTACACTAAAAAGGCATTTTACTCCCTAAAAAGTCTAAACTAGGCATATAGCAGAGTGTGCGACAGCAAAGTTTTGATCATGTTGACATTTAGAGGCCTTTGCGTATAAATATGATACTGTAGGCTGTTTAAGGTGTTTAACACGGCATCTTTTAAATTAGGGATGCACGATATATCGGCCACCATATCGGTATCGGCCGATATATGTTCATTTTTTATGTCATTGTTATCGGTTATAGAAAATTTTGCCGATATATTAAAGCCGATAAATAATGGATATTTTCCTTCAGCTGAGACACTTTAGATGCGCACTGTTCAACATGATGGTTTTTAAATTGATTGGAATCACTTAAAAAAATACGGTTCAGTGCAACATGTGCAGCGCAAGTCTGTCATATCGGCTACATAAAATTATAATGAGTTGAGAGCATTATAATTGAGTGTTTGGGACATGGCTTTTAAAGCTGAGACTTTTGTTTTTGTAATCAGGCAGGGTATCAAAAATTATATAAAAATTTGGATTTAGATTTATGGGCCAATATATTCGTTATCGGCTTTCAAATATAAAGAATTATCGGTTATCGGTATCAGCCAAAATGTTCATATCAGTGCATTTCTAATTTCATGCCCCGTTTACACGAAGGGAAGACGCAGATATTTCCCTGCGGTTTGGCCTCTCATTTACACGAAAACCCTGTTTTTAATCACAGAAAACGGTTATTTCTAAAAACTCCGGCCAAAGTGGAGATTTCTGATAACGCCGGTTATGTGTTGCCGTGTCGACTGGGAGAAACAGGGTTTTAGGTTCTCAAACGTCACATTATGCGCCAGAGCATGCTTAACGTCATGTGAGCGCCCAGAGTTATGATGGCGCTCGACGGCGGATTTATGCGGGTTGATGTAAATGACAACTTTTGGGGGGGGGGGGGGGGATATTTGTTTCTCTAAATACCCGGCTATGTGTAAATGTGGCCTCAGTGTCAACTCCAAACATTCATTGATCGGTCAGAAAGCTGTACAAACCTCTGGTGACGCATCATTGAGTTTCAGCATCCTTTTGATGCATGTTCTGGCTTTGTGGTTCAGCTCCAGGATCCAGTAAAGCAACGCTGCGTAATACAACGCTCTGTCACCGGCTGTGGATCCAGACAGCTTCAGGTCAGAGTTCAGCTCATTCACAGCATCTCGATCTAATGGGTATACACAGAAAGACACACTTTATCCCTGAATCGATGTTTCATTCAGTTCAGTGTATGTAACGAGCGGCTGGGTCAGGGTTACCAATGGTTTCGCAACGTTTGTGTGCGCACATGAGAGCTACTGTTGAGCACAGAGACAGATGTGGATGATCTTTCAGCTGGACGAGCTCTCGCAAAGCCTCTTGAATGTGACCTGCAATGTATGTGCATGAGCCTTTATCATTATCATCAACAACAACAACAACACTATCAGTTTGCCATATTAACATTATAACTTCATAAGCATCAACAACTAGCATAAATACCTAAAAAGTAGGGAAAATGGAAACACTTAAAAATAAAGGTTCTTTAAAGACCTTATTCAGAGCAGCGCCATGATGACAGGTATGACTCTTTCATTCCCGTTAAAAATCAAAATGGCGCTGCTGTGAATAAGGTCTACTGGCATCGACGGTTCCATTAAGAACCTTTAAACATCCATAAAACCCTTTCATTCCTAAAAAGGGGAGGTTCTTTAACGATATTTTAATATCGGTTCACTTATGAAAGTTTTTTTTTTTGAGGAACCGAAAACGGTTCTTATAAGGAAAATCTCAATTTTTGGAATTTTTTTATAATAGTAAATAAATAAAGTCACTAACGTTAACGTACCTTCCATCAGAGTTGCGAAAGCTTTGAAGAAACGAAGCACTGGATCATTACTATACAACTTTAAATTCTCCACAGCTATATTTATGGCATGTCTGAAGCATTTCTCCCTCATATAATATATAATCAACGGCTGTTGAAGCAAACATCAGTCATTATAACAGTTTACTAAATGTAGGTTTCCATTATGATAAAAAATGACCGAACATATGTAATCAAAACTTACCAAACACGTTTTATCGTTTTCTGACATATTTTCCCCCCCAGATAATTAAACTAATTCGAGTTATAATAACGTGAGAGGCATCAAACAGCACCTGTGATTTAAAATAACGGAAATCTGCCGTTGCTAGACACCTGCACAGGAATAATAATCAAACACAGATACCGCCGCCTGTGTTATTGATTTCTAGCGATCATCTAAGATTGATTACTCACGTCTGTTTAGACAACACTACGGTGACGAATTTACAAATCGTGGTGTTGTTTTATTCCACTTTATTTGTATCCTTATCAGTTTTCGTCTCGTAAATGTTTGAGTTAAATAGAAAGAGTTAAAAAAAGAAAAGAAAAAAAAAAGAAAAGCGAACGGACGAATCCTACTATGGCGAAGGCCTGACGTCACGAGTCGCTCAGACAGAAGTCTACGTGATTGGCTAAAACCAGACAGATGTATGAATATTAACGATTAGCTTCAGGAAGGTTACTAAGCAACGTGCTCATGTACTATTCAATATTCATGAGCTTCGCTTGGCTGTAGTATGATGTTGTTCGTACGTCGCAGTTCATGATGGGTCTGATTCAGAGCGTGTTTGCTGCAGAGAGCGGGTATCACGTGCACGCGGTGAGTGCGTCATTAACAGCTGTTTTAGTCAGTATTGCATTTAGTTAGACATCCTGAGGAATTAGGTTTGATAAAGTAAATTACATACGACCTTAAGGTTTGTCAACCGTGTTTCATAGTGTCACAGCATTTAAAAATCTTCGAGTTTCCTCGAATTCTATGTTTATTAGAGTAGTAATCGAAATATTGTCACTTGGAAAAATATGGGTCTTAAAATCCTACAGTATTTTCCTTTTAAAAGATTACCAAGATCCAAATTGCCAAATTATGGCAAATTCAAATATAACTTTTGTTTGTCATAATTTTGACTTTTTAATCTCTTCACAAGATTTTGACTGATCTAATAATTATGACTTTTTTGACTTATGAGTAGGGATGCATAATACATTGGCCACCATATCGGTCGATATTTGAAATCGGCCCTATAAGAAAATTTGGCCGATATATTAAAGCCAATAAATAATGGATAATTTATTTTAGCTGAGACACTTCAGATGCGCACTGTTCGCCATGATGGTTTTGAATTGCTTGAAATATGATTGGAATCACTTCAAAAAAGGTAAATACATTTAAGTGTGACATGCGCAGCGCAAGTCTGTCATATAAGCTACATAAAATTATAATGAGAACATTATAATTGAGTGCTTGGGACACGGCTTTTAATGGTGAGACTTTTGTTTTTGTAATCAGGCTCTCAAAAATTATTAAAAAATAATTGGATTTATATTTATCGGCTGATATATCGGTTATCGGCTTTCAAATATAAAGAATCATCGGTTATCGGTATCGACCAAAATTGTCATATTGGTGCATCCCTACTTATGACTGTCAATTTCGTCATAATTATGGTTTACACAACCATCATGTGGTGAAAACGAGCTTTCTTCCATAATATTCCGCTTTAATTCCCAGATCCAGGAGAATTCTCCCGCAGAGCGAGCCGGCCTGGAGCCCTTCTTTGATTTTATTTTGTCTATTGGACACACCAGACTGGTGAGATCTAAACTCCTAAATCTCCGACCATTTCAGACGCGTTACACTAAAAATGATGAGTCAGAACCAGAAGTCACAAATCATAATGATGATGATGATGATAATCTGAAGAACTCCTTGCATATTAATGCTCTGATGTCAAACTGAGAGCCTAAAGCGTGTGCGTCTGTGTGTATGTGTGTGTTATCAGAATAAAGAAAGCAGCACGCTGAAGGACCTCCTGAAGGCAAACGTGGAGAAGCCGGTGAAGCTGGAGGTCTACAGCAGTAAAGTGATGAGGATCCGAGAGCTGGAGGTCGTGCCCAGTAACATGTGGGGCGGTCAGGGTTTACTGGGAGCCAGCGTCCGGTTCTGCACGTTCCAAGGGGCCAATCACAACGTCTGGCATGTGCTGGTGAGCTAAAAAATGTAATCGGTAGAGTCCTGTTCAAAGTTTTTTTATTGAATGACAACTTTGCAAAAACAATTACTATACGATGGAATATACACATTTTTCCTAATCGGTAGAGTCCAAAAGTCTCAGAACCCTATTGAAAGTTTTTTTTTGTGTCTAATTTAATCATTAATAATACAATTAATTGTTTCATTTATTAACATTCATTAATGCATTAACTGACAATCTAACAATGAGCAATATATATTTTACAGCATGTATTAATGATTATTATTATTAATGCTAGTTAATAGAAATATATGGAAGCTTGTTTCCGCCACTGAATAAAAAAATAATAATAATAATTGCGACTTTTTATCTCAATATTGCGAGATATGAAGTCAGAATTCTGAGAAATAAAGTCGCAATTGCGAGATATAAAGTAGCAATTATGAGAAAAAGTCGCAATTGCGAGATATAAAGTCGCAATTCTGAGAAATAAAGTCGCAATTGCGAGATATAAAGTCGCAATTCTGAGAAATAAAGTCGCAATTGCGAGATATAAAGTCGCAATTCTGAGAAATAAAGTCGCAATTGCGAGATATAAAGTCGCAATTCTGAGAAATAAAGTCGCAATTGCGAGATATAAAGTCGCAATTCTGAGAAATAAAGTCGCAATTGCGAGAAAAAAAGACAGAATTGCGACTTTATATCTCACAATTCTGACTTTATAACACATAATTGCGAGTTTAAATCTAGAAATTCTGACATCTTTTCTCAGAATTGTGAGATATAAACTCGCAATTGCGAGTTATCAGGCCAATTCTAAGGGGGAAAAAGACTAACTTTTTCCCCTCAGAATAGTTTATATCTCACAATTCTGACTTTACAACACGCAATTGCGACTTTATATCAATCAATTCTGACTTTATATCTCGCAATTCTGACTTTATAACACGCAATTGGGATTTTATATCACGCAATTCTGACTTTATATCTCGCAATTCTGAGAAATAAGTCAGAATTGCGAGATGTAAACTCGCAATTGTGAGAAAAAAAGTCCGAATTGTGAGATAAAGTCGCAATTACCTTTTTTATTTTTCATTCTGTGGCCGAAAACAAGCTTCCATAGAAATATGCATGTTAGTTTATATTGTGTGTACTAAATTTAAAAGATAGCACATTTGATCTTTAAAATGTATTCGTAAATGTTGAGATTAACGAGCAAAGATTAATAAAAATGCTGCTTATTCTTAGTTCATGTTATCTAATGTACTTAAAGTCACAGTTGTTACAAATTTGCGTTTTTGTAGTTTACATGGAGATGATAAAAAGTGTAAATAAAAAGTTTTCTGTTTTTAGTTGAAAACTGAAAAATATAATATTTGTATTGATTTACAGCATTTTTGAAGAAAAAAAAGTCCCCTTGTAGTCAATAATTGTATCCCTTAAAACGCATCGTTGATCACCAAAATGACATATTTAAATGTTTTTTTCTTGAAAAATAAGTGGGAAGTTATTCAGATTCAAGATTACCAGGAACATGATTCAAAATAATAATAATAATGATGATGTGCAAAGATAAATAACTCAGAATAAACACTGCAATATTCCTGGTGACTAAGGCTTTCAGACAGCACTGGATGTGTTGTTTCCCAGCTCGTTGTTTAATTGGTTGTTAATTGGCTTGGTCTATTGTTGTTTCAGGATGTGGAAGGGAATTCTCCTGCTGAACTGGCGGGACTGAAGCCTTATTCGGATTACATTGTTGGCGCAGATCAGGTGTTGCAGGAAGTAAGATTTGTTTATCAGCTGATCGAAGCCGGTTTGGCACAGAATCAAACTGAAAGACTGCATTTGAATATGAATGCAAATTGAAGATGAAATCACACTGGCCGTTAATCTTTGCAGTCGGAGGACTTCTTTTCGCTGATCGAGGCGTCTGAGGGGAAAGCGCTGAAGCTGCTGGTGTATAACACACGCTGTGACCGCTGTAGGGAGGTGATGATCACTCCTAATGGAGCGTGGGGCGGAGAGGGAAGGTATTTCATCAGCAGAACTGACTAATACATTCACAATACAGTCCAACTGCTGTTTTTTGATGCTTTTTTTATTTTACATTACACTTTTTGTTCTAAATAATGTCTTGTAACTTGTATTGTCGTGCACATCATTCAATAATCATAGAAAATTGTATTTTATAGTGCCCCTATTATGCTGTTTAAAAGGTTCTATTGTAAACGAGTCTTCTACGACCGGCTTACATGCAAACAAGGTCAAAAAACACTTTAATTTTCTCATAATATCCATTCCAGCATCAGCTCTTGTCTCAGGATTCAGTCTCTCTAAACCCCGCCTCTCTGAGAGCTGCTGTGCTCTGATTGGTCAGAATACAGTCTGTTGTGATTGGTCTACTCTGCTCTGATTGGTCAGATGATCCAGTCTGTTTTGATTGGTCTACTCTGCTCTGATTGGTCAGACGGCCCAGCAAAGAGATGCTGTTCGCCGGCAGCCAATGAACCAGCCAAAAAACCATAGACTGGCATTATGCAAATTAGTTACAAACCTATGCAGATCCGAACAGAAAGAAAGACTGGAATTAGACGAATCGCTTCAAGAAGTTCAGAATCGAATCTTAGTTTTGGGAGACGATAACTTTATCTTTTAAACTTTGCAGACCTTTAACCTTCACGAACAGATTTATTTCACACTACATGAAAGGCAATATCCCAAAAAGCATAATAAGGGCACTTTAAACAACATGTACAGGTCCTTCTCAAAAAATTAGCATATTGTGATAAAGTTAATTATTTTCCATAATGTAATGATAAAAATTAAACTTTCATATATTTTAGATTCATTGCACACCAACTGAAATATTTCAGGTCTTTTATTGTTTTAATACTGATGATTTTGGCATACAGCTCATGAAAACCCAAAATTCCTGTCTCAAAAAATTAGCATATCATGAAAATGGTCTCTAAACAAGCTATTAACCTAATCATCTGAATCAACTAATTAACTCTAAACACCTGCAAAAGATTCCTGAGGCTTTTAAAAACTCCCAGCCTGTTTCATTACTCAAAACCACAATCATGGGTGAGACTGCCGACCTGACTGCTGTCCAGAAGGCCATCATTGACACCCTCAAGCAAGAGGGTAAGACAGAAAGAAATTTCTGAACAAATAGGCTGTTCCCAGAGTGCTGTATCAAGGCACCTCAGTGGGAAGTCTGTGGGAAGGAAAAAGTGTGGCAAAAAACGCTGCACAACGAGAAGAGGTGACCGGACCCTGAGGAAGATTGTGGAGAAGGACCGATTCCAGACCTTGGGGGACCTGCGGAAGCAGTGGACTGAGTCTGGAGTAGAAACATCCAGAGCCACCGTGCACAGGCGTGTGCAGGACATGGGCTACAGGTGCCGCATTCCCCAGGTCAAGCCACTTTTGAACCAGAAACAGCGGCAGAAGCGCCTGACCTGGGCTACAGAGAAGCAGCACTGGACTGTTGCTCAGTTTTGCATGTCATTCGGAAATCAAGGTGCCAGAGTCTGGAGGAAGACTGGGGAGAAGGAAATGCCAAAATGCCTGAAGTCCAGTGTCAAGTACCCACAGTCAGTGATGGTCTGGGGTGCCATGTCAGCTGCTGGTGTTGGTCCACTGTGTTTTATCAAGGGCAGGGTCAATGCAGCTAGCTATCAGGAGATTTTGGAGCACTTCATGCTTCCATCTGCTGAAAAGCTTTATGGAGATGAAGATTTCATTTTTCAGCACGACCTGGCACCTGCTCACAGTGCCAAAACCACTGGTAAATGGTTTACTGACCATGGTATTACTGTGCTCAATTGGCCTGCCAACTCTCCTGACCTGAACCCCATAGAGAATCTGTGGGATATTGTGAAGAGAAAGTTGAGAGACGCAAGACCCAACACTCTGGATGAGCTTAGGGCCGCTATCGAAGCATCCTGGGCCTCTATAACACCTCAGCAGTGCCACAGGCTGATTGCCTCCATGCCACGCCGCATTGAAGCAGTCATTTCTGCAAAAGGATTCCCAACCAAGTATTGAGTGCATAACTGAACATAATTATTTGAAGGTTGACTTTTTTTTTTTTTTTATTAAAAACACTTCTTTTATTGGTCGGATGAAATATGCTAATTTTTTGAGACAGGAATTTTGGGTTTTCATGAGCTGTATGCCAAAATCATCAGTATTAAAACAATAAAAGACCTGAAATATTTCAGTTGGTGTGCAATGAATCTAAAATATATGAAAGTTTAATTTGTATCATTACATTATGGAAAATAATTAACTTTATCACAATATGCTAATTTTTTGAGAAGGACCTGTATTTGCTCTCGTGTGTGTTCTCTCAGTCTCGGTTGTGGCGTGGGGTTTGGGTACCTGCATCGAATCCCCATGCGCCCGTTCGCATCAGATCAATACCAGAATGCATCTGCAACATCTGGAAACCAAGAGGACAAAAACTGGTCTAAGGTAGATGCACAGAAACATCTCCAGGTCACATTTCACTCCGAAATGCAAAGAAAATCATATTTAGGACAATTATGGCTTTAACTTTTATATTTCCTTTTGTAATTTCGGGGCAAAATATGTTCATAAGATTCCCCATCATATCTGTATTGTATAGAAGCTTGTTTCTGCCACAGAAGAAAAAAGGTAATTTATCTCACAATTCTGACATTTTCTGGCAATTGTGATTTTATAACTCGCGATCGACTTTTTTCGAGAAAAAATACACATTTTTACATCTAAACTTGCAATTAAAAAAAAAGGTAATTGCAGGTTTTTTACCTCGTAAGTTTAGAACTCACAAGTCAGAGGAAAAAAGTCGGAATCGCAAAATATAAACTCACAATTCTTACATTTTCTTGCAATTGTGAGCTGCAAGAAAAAGTCCGGATTTTGAGATGTAAACTCGCAATTAAAAAAGGTTATTATGACTTACCTCACATTTCCGAAATTATGGACGTAATTTGCTTCATACGACAGATCCATAATTGTATATTTCCTTTTTATTATTGCTTAACTTAGAATTAATCTTATTCTGTCTCTGTTTGCTGTATGGTACTTTCTATGAACAAAAGAGACCGAATTAATTACCGTACATATATGTAATATTCCAAATGGTATCTGTAATTGTGCGATGTACTCTGTTTATATGGAAAAATCTAAATAAACTGGGGGGGAAAAAACACTTCCGAAATTATTTCACAATTCTGACTTTTTTCTCACAATCACAAGTTTATAACTCACAATTCTGACATTTTCTTGAAATTGTGAGTTTTATAACTTGCAATTCTGACTTTTTTTTTCTTTTTGCAAAATAAACTTTTAATTTAATTAAAAAAGATGACTTCTCATTTCTGATTTTTTTTTCACAATTCGTACAAAATTTGGAATTATGATATATAAACTCACAATTCTGACATTTTCTCGCAATTACGAGTTATAAACTGACTTTTTTCTCTTTTTGCGGGAAAAGTCTGAATTTTGAGATGTAAACTTGCAATTAAAAAAGTTAATAGTTACTTTCATCTCACAAGCCTGACATTTTTTCCCTCCACATTACTGACAAAGTCCGAATTACCATATATAACCTCACAATTCAGACTTTTTTTCTTGCAATTCCGAGTATATAACCCATAATTTCTGAGGGGGGAAAATATTCAGAAATGTGACGTATAATTGAGGTAATTTATTGAAGTATAAAGTCAGAATTGTGAGATACAAATCAGTGAAATCATTAGCCTCCATAGTATTGTATAAAGCTCTACATTTAAAAATAAAGGTGAAATAATGTTTGTCAGCGAGTTTTAATTCAGTCTTATTCCAGTCACTGTCAGATAATGAGCGTGACGTGACGGAAGATGCCGGTGAAGGATGTGTTCAGCACACGTCAGAAGCGTCGGCATCATCTCCAGGTGGGCACATCATCATAACAGGGGTCGTACACACACTGGAACATGAAATTACAGGACTTCAATCAGAGATCTCACTTATCAAACAATATCTATATTATCTTTCAAATTCTAAAAAAAGGTAAATAGATAGATAGATATCAAACTCATAGCCATTAGAGGTGGGAGAAAAAATCGATACAGCATAGTATCGCGATATTTTCTGTGGCAATACTGTATCGATACACGGGCGCCAAGTATCGATCTTTTATTATTTAAATTAGCTACACATGAGAATTTAACTTTGATAGTAGAGTGCGTGTCTGCGTGAGTGTTCAGCGGTGCCGCGTCTTCTATCTCTCTTCTCTCAAAATGTGTTGTGCAAGGCAAGCATCAAGCGCTGCGGCGACACACTCGCGTTTAGGAGTCGGGACATGACGGCATATTCACTTGCACAATCGGGCCAGCAGTGCATCGTGACTGAAGTCTTTTTAAGTCTTACCAGTTTAAACATTCAAGCGATTTCAAACTAATCAGTGTTCGCGCGCTCTGAGATTATTTTCTATGTGCACATTCATAGAAAATCCGCCTCAAGAACAGCTGGCCAGTAACAAATGTTATTTTTCGCGGATTGTATTGCTTTAACACGCAAAATTGTGTCAATTTCGGTCTTCGTGAGTATACTCTAAACATAGTCGGTTTTGTCTTTAATAAGCATAAAACGCATGCCAGTATAATGAACAGAGGATCCGTGCACTAGCTCTTAAAGTCACGGCAGCCATATGTGTCTGTCATTAATTTTGTTGTCAAAAAAACAACAAAAGATGGCTTTAAGTTAAAGGAATCAGGATTAATAGCCTATGTATTTAATTTATTCAGGACTAAAATACTACCCAGTGTTTCTATCTGGGTAGTATACAGTGTTGTATATCCATTTGATTACATTATTCAGTTTCTGTACTTATGAATACTAGTGTTAGACCTATTCAAAAACTTTTCTCTTTATTTGTCATTATTTGTATCTTTATTCTATTGTATTTATTTGTGCTACTTTTTTCAATTTAATTAAACAATTTAAATCAAGCTTCCTTGTGTTGTGTAAATTCTTAATATTACCCCCATTGTAAAAATTGCAATGAGCGCAAACATTTAGGCGATATAAATGTAATAATTTTGTTTGGAAAAAATGCAAAAATTGAAGTTGAAAAAAGGTAATAAATTGCAATATATTGCAGAATATCGCAATGTTTAAAATCGCAATAATATCGTATCGTGACCTAAGTATCGGGATATCGTATCGTGGTGCCTCTGGTGATTCCCACCCCTAATAGCCATGCGAATTACCTCTATATCAGACGAGCTGCAGCTTCATTTTGTGTGAAAAGATTGTTTTATCAATAAAATTAAACGCTAATTTCACATATATCGTCTTTTAATAATTATTTTCATAAATGTCTGTTTTCAAGGGTTTCCAGGACCTAAATTTCAAAAAGTCAAGCATTTTAAGCAGCTTGTACTACGAACCCTGTCATAATCATACACCACTTCAAATCACACAGATTTATCTCACATGATAAAGATAATCAGAACAATCTCATATGGTAGAAATCTTCAAATCATTATGTTGAACACATTAAAACTTTTTGAAACCGTGTGCAATAAAACCAGTTTTTGTTGGCAGACACGACAGCTGTGGATCTCTCCGCACGCTCTTCCTCTTTGCTTGTGGATGGTGATGATGATGATGATGGAGTCTGCAACAGTGAGGACATCTCTGCGTTGAGTAAGCACCAAAACACCAAAGTAAATGATCTTAGCCTTCATACTGTCTCCTCACGTGCCACATTACTCCCTCGTGAAGGTCGTCCTGAAGACAGCGTGAGGATCTCGGTTCAGAAGAGCGGTTCAGGAATCTGTGGTGAACAAACGCCACCTGTGCTCTCTAACGTGGAGCTGAAGGATGAAGCATCTGCACAGAAACCCCTCACATGAGCCTCGGCTGTGGTTTCAGGAGGGTGTCGTGAGGACTCGACTTTTACCCGCTGGGATAGAGTTAAGCAATTCTATTGAAGCACCGGAGAACGTCTCTGACACTATTCACTGTTATTGTAGAGCGCTGACATGCAGGATTGCACAGAAACCGATGCTTTAAAGTGCCGCAGTGAGTGTGTCGTTTCTGTTTGCACACATATAAACTCTTGCTTTATAAAATAGTGAGAAACTACTAGCGTGAATATCATGATAAAACGTCTATCTATATATGCACACACACACATATATATATATTATACATACAGGTATTAGATATGAAGCCAGCCTGTGTAAAGAAAAGCGTTTTGCATTGTGACATTATTTTCACGACACAATTGCACTTTAAAGTTAAATTACTTTTTATTATTTTCAGTGGTGATTCGATGTAATGCAGTAATATCTCAGGAAAGCGGCTGGAGCTCACTGTCATGAATGTGTTGGACAAATCCATTAAAATGTTGTTGACTGAATGTTTCTGAATATACACACACATATATATACATACATATATAAATAGAGAGGCCTATGCATACACATACATATATATACACACACACAATATAAATATAAATACACACACATACATTTTATGTGTGCATATATATACACAAAAATACACGCATATACATACACATATATATATATATATATATATAGGCCTATACATTCATACATTTTATTTATACATATATACACACACATTTTGTGTGTGCATGTATATATATATATATATATATATACACAATACACACACATACATTTTATGTGTGCATATATACATATATATATATACACACACACACATATATGTATAGGCCTATACATTCATACATTTTATTTACACACATATATATATATATATATATACACACACACACACATTTTATGTATGCATGTATATATATATATACACAAAAACACACACACAGACATACTATATATATATATGTATATACACACACACACAGTACCGTTTAAATGCTAAAAAAAAGTTGGTGCAGAAGTGTCAAGATTAAAGAGAAAATGTAACCTTATTTGACTTTAATTCTACATTATAATAATATTATATATATATAAATACATTATTATATATCTACATATGTAATAATAAAAGGCCAAGAGAATCCTGAACACATAAACATGCACCAGCGTTAAACATTTCATGCTTACCTCTGAAATATCGACATGCAAATGCAGACACAATTTTCCACTTCTGAAAATGAGAAATACACAGATGTTAAATATAAACCAATAGACGATGCATATCATCAGTTTGCTGAATATATTAGAGTATAAATTCAAAAGTACTAACCTGCTATAATCCTCACTCCAGCTCTTTTATCAGGATAAATCACACACATGTATTAAAGGAGGATTAATAATCATTTCAGTTCTTTAATAACCAGATGATCTGTAGTAAAAGCAGGAGAACATCAGGAGGATCTCATTCAAACAACAGCATTTCAACTCATTCATTATTGGTTCATTTATTAAGCTGTTATTTACCCAAAATATACTGCATATAATTACAATTAACACAGGAAGCATAAATACAGGGGGTGTCGACGCATTTAAAACCTTTCAGAGACAACTCAGTTTTGGCTCTCGATTTAGTATCTGATGGATTTGTATTACTATAATTATCATCCTATTTGTCTTTAAGACCAAATATATACATTAATACATTTTGCTAGAACACTGTGCAAAACTTCGTATGATTGACAAACGTTTGCAGAACAGTTTTAGTTTTGCATAAATTAAAAGCATGAACAGAGACTGTCATCCTTCAATGTTCATAGCTTTTTATATTATTTATTATATATATATATATATATATATTCATTTATTTTTGTATATTTCCCTGTGGGAGGAAAGATAACGCTGAGCAGCAAACAGTCGTATCGAAGAATAATTCATCCAAAAATGAAAATCGTCATTTGGTTTTAAACCGATATGCTGATATTTTTGAAGAATCTTCATGCAGCTCTTTTCTATACAACAACAGCATACATTAATTAATTAAAAAATTCAACAAATGCATAAGAATTTTCCATTTTGGGAGAATTATTCCTTTAAAAAAAAACTATTACCACTTATAATGTTATGAGTATTTTCTCTCTCTGAACTTCTGTCATCATATTTTACATGAAAAAGCACCTTTTTGAAGATACCATACATTTTCTTAAAAAAGAAAAAGTAAATAAAAACCTCCTAATCTCCAACTCAAGTTCAAGTTGACTACAAAATAATTACAATATATGTACAACAATGGATGCATTGATGATCACAGCATGTTAGTGCGAGAGATGCATCATGGGAAACAGCGTTCTTGGGAGTTTTATCAGACGTTTACACACTGGTGATTGTTTTAGAGCCGGTCCAGACGCAATCCTCAGCTCAGACTTGGTTTTCCGGTCATGCCGCGAGAGGGATTTGATGACGTCATTGGCAACAAACACATCACTGGAATGTTAAATGAGAAGAGGGGCGGTAAAAAACAAAACCAAAGCAACTCGGACATGTTCAATATGGCATCCGTCAAGAGAGAATTGATGCCAAGAGAAAAGAATTAAACCTAACGGGTGAACGAACAGGTAAACTCAAACTTCATTAAAAGCCACTGTCCTTTCCATGTCACGTCTTTGAGCGTTTCTCCACAGCGTTTCTCCTGCTCGCTTCCACTGGGATAAACATGCGTGACGCCGGCGGCCTGGTGATCTAGACGTCAGACAGAACCGGGAAGTGCAGGTGAGCGTGTGCTTTGAATGGGAAGTGTTGCGAATGATGGATCCGATGCGAGTTTCACGTGGATTTCTGCCGGTAGTGAAGCGTCAGGTCGCCGCCGCTCTTCCAGATGAAGTGCTTCACCGTCCGCAGGTCCATGTTGGGGTCCAGAACCTTCCCAAAGCAATGCAACATGTCAGAAAGATGCATTCGGTTCATTGTACACAGCGGGATCTGAGATCTAGGAGATTTCACTAGATAATTAGGAAAATAACTAGGACCAAGAAACTTGCTAAATGCTAGTTTTCTGATTAGCTGATGATGTCCTAGTTGATACTGAAGTGTAAAAAACATGAATACCAATAGGGATGCACCGATATGAACATTTTGGCCGATACCGATAATTCTTTATATCTGAAAGCCGATAACCGATATATCGGCCGATAAATCTAAATCTGAATTTTTTTATAATTTTTAAGAGCCTGATTACAAAAACAAAAGTCTCAGCATTAAAAGCTGTGTCCCAAACACACAATTATAATGATGTTCTCATATCATTGTATGTAGCCGATATTACAGACTTGCGCTGCACATGTTGCACTGAACCTTATTTTCCTTTTCAAAGTGATTCCAATCATATTTCAAGCAATTCAAAACTATCATGTTGAAGCGTCTCAGCTGAAGGAAATAATCCATTATTTATCGGCTTTAACATACCGGCCAAATTTTCTTAACGGACCGATAACGATAACTTTAAAAATGATCATATATCGGCCGATACCGATATGTTGGGTGAAATATCGTGCATCCCTAAATACCAATCTTTCAACATCAGCAAACTAAACTGTGAAGAGGTTCCATAGTGATATATAGCCAATCATGTTTGTATTATTGCAATATGTAACTATATTATTGCCCAGCTCTGATCTGCTAAATGCAACTTTAAGGCATAAAGACATTAAGATATTATAAACATGAACATTAGGGATGCGCGATATTTCAGCCCCCATATCGGTATCGGCTGACATATGATCATTTATAATGTTATCGGTATCGGCCTGATTAGAAAATTTGGCCGATATATTAAAGCCGATAAATAATGGATTATTTCCTTCGGCTGAGACGCTTCAGATGTTCAACATGATGGTTTTGAATTGCTTGAAATATGATTGGAATCACTTTAAAAAAAGGAAAATACAGTTCAGTGCGACATGTGCAGCGCAAGTCTGCCATATCGGCTACATACAATTATAATCAGAACATTAAACTTGTATGATTAGGACACGGCTTTAATGGTGAGACTTTTGTTTTGGCAATCAGGCTCTCAACATTTTTTATTTCGATTTATCAACTTTAACCCTTTAGGCGCCAGAGGTTTTTTCCTAAAACGTTCGATTTTGACATCTTAATTTCAAAAGGCTATATCTTAAAAGTGATAAAACTTCTTGCTGTAAATTAGAGAAATATTAAGGATGACCCAAAGTTTATGTAGGGGTTACATTTCCCCATCTAATTTGCATTATAGAATTATTTGGATTATAGAATTTTCATGAAAAGTCACGTTTAAATGATAAAATGCAGCACTTCTTTCCCCCCAAAATGTCCCTCACCTCCTGTATGCTATATTGCACAATACTGAATGCTCAGGTATATAGTAAGAAGTAAACAAACTGTGTAAACCATTACTAATAAATGGTAGAAACGAACCGAATGCATGTAGTGGTTGGCCTTTTGCTGTAGAGATTTTCCATTTACTAAATACAGTAGGCACTCTGATTCCATGTATGGGGCACATATATATTATTCATATGACACACAAACACAAGTAGACAAGACCTGTTTAGTTCAAGCGCTCACTCGCCACGGCAAGGCACAGATCATGAGTGAGATGATACGAGCTGCGCGGCCAGATCTGCCCCGAGTGTGCACAGCTCGGACTGCTGTCATTGTCATTGCGACTCCCCACCCTGCCTCCACGTCGCCCCCTAACTGTCCTATGAATACTTCGACCTCGTCTAACATACCCAGTGATAATAGACAAAGTCTCCACCACAATACTGTCGCCGCGATGGCGGAGAGGCTCTGATAAAATGGCTCACTCGCACACTAGCTCCGCTTTTGATCGCACTGATTCAATGCGCTCTAACTCGCACATTTTGTATAGAAACATGACGTTTTTTTGATTCGGGGATGACGTATGACATGTCTGCCATCCAGTGGAGGGGAGGTCGAACGAAATTTGACACCCAATTTGACAAAATCGGCCGTTTTATCCAGTGCCGCATCTTGTCAAGTAAACTCGACCGTGGCGCCTAGAGGGTTAAAGCATAAAGAATCATCAGTTATCGGCCAAAATGTTCATATCGGTGCATCCCTAATTAACATCATGCTTCTCTGTGAAGCTGCTTTGAAACAATGTTGTCACAATAATCTTTAAACAAATGTTGCATGTTGAGATTAAAAAACAGCTTCAAGAGTCGTTATATGTCACTGGTACTGCTATCTGACTGTATGAAAGCGATGGATTGAACAATCCTGCACTGGTGTTGGTGTGTTGATGGGATATGGTACCTGGTCCTGACAGAGCAGCTCGATCTTCTCCTCCGCTAGCACTGCCATGTCCTCCTCCTCCTTCTGTTCGCTGGGCTTCTCTCCGGTCGAACCGCCCGTCTGAGACTCGCTGTCCAGGTTTATGATCTTTTCATACACATGTTCCATCACCTTCCTCACCTGTAGCATGTCACTGGCCGACAACCGATCCCTAAAAATACACGGCTAGTTTTCATTTACATCCAAAACAGTTGCATCCAGTCACATCAGACTGAAACATCAGACACACACTCACACTCACACTCACACTCACAACACTCACTTCTTTAACGTCTTTGCTCCGGACGATGAATGTGGTTGGAGGTAGAATGGGATTTTGTTGAATTTGGGCATGTTTTTCTGTAGGAGAATTAAATAAATGTGCTTTAAATAACAGAAAAAGAATAAGACATTTGTTGGAGACGTGAACAGGATCTTACGTCCACTGTGATGTCGATGACCCACTGCGGGACCGTCTCGTTGAGTAACATGGACTCAGTTTCTCCACCAGAGTCTCGACACAACAGCCTGCACACACACACACACTGATTCGTTTCATCACTGAACACCAGCATCTGAAGACGTGATTAAACAGGAAGACACACACACACACACCTGAATAATGTCCTTCCTCCCGCTTCCCCGAAGATCACCGGAGTGTGTGGCGGCACCTGAAAATATCCGTTTCCTTTCTGTATCCGGCTCTCATGTTCACCATTCACTAAGCAAACACACAACATATGCCATCATCATCTTAAGAAGAAGAAACTTATACATATATATAGTAATAAACTTGGATATTATTATATTTAAATAAATCCAATTACATTAAATCCAAGTTTATAATTATTGTATAATATTTATTATTATTATTATTATTAATATTATATGTAAATTTATATTATAATAATTATTATAAGTACTAAATGTATAACATATAGTAAATAATTGTAATATATTATAACCAATAATACAAAAATAATATATATATATATATATATATATATACACACAGTATAAATAATTACCTGATATAAATTATGTATATATAAATAAATATTTATATATTATTTAATTTAGTTAAATAGTATCCAAGTTTATAATTATATATTATATATATATACACACACAGAAAAATAGATAGTGCTAATAATAATAATATTTAACAATATCTATATTAATTTGAACAAAATAATATATATATACATATATATATATATATATATATATATATATATATATATATAAGTTTATACAGTGGTGTGAATAAGTTATTACCCCCATGCTAAAGTTGCCTAAAAAGAGGAATAAAAAAATCATCTTTTGGAAATTGATCTTAATGCCTTAATTAGAAAAATGAGGAAAAATCCAACCTTTAAGGACACCAATTTTCTTTGTGTATGAATAATGTATCATAAATAAATAAATGTTCTTCCTTAAAATACAGGGTGCATAAGTCAGCCCCCCCCCCCCCCCCCCCCCCCCCTCCTATGTTAAATTCCCATAGAGTCAGGCAGATTTTTATTTTTAAAGGCCAGTTATTTCATGGATCCAGGATAATATGCATCCTGATAAAGTTCCCTTGGCCTTTGGAATTAAAATAGACCCACATCATCACATTCCCTTCACCATACCTAGAGATTGGCATGGGGTACTTTCCATAAGATCATCTTTCAATGCAAATCAAACCAGCTATTAGGCTAACTGAAATAACACCATGCCAATCTCTAGGTATGGTGAAGGGAATGTGATGATGTGGGATATTTTAATTCCAAAGGCCAAGGGAACTTTATCAGGATGCATATTATCCTGGATCCATGAAATAACTGGCCTTTAAAAATAAAAATCTGCCTGACTCTATGGGAATTTAACATAGGGGGGGCCTGACTTATGCACCCTGTATTTTAAGGAAGAACATTTATTTATTTATGATACATTATTCATACACAAAGAAAATTGGTGTCCTTAAAGGTTGGATTTTTCCTCATTTTTCTAATTAAGGCATTAAGATCAATTTCCAAAAGATGATTTTTTATTCCTCTTTTTAGGCAACTTTAGCATGGGGGTAATAACTTATTCACACCACTGTAATTCCTGAATAATATATAGTTTTTTTTATAATAAGCATAATTATATAATAAATATGATACTGCAAGTATAAACTTACAATATAAAATATTTATATGTGTCAATACATATACATTTCTTTTATACTATTAAAAATTATAATACGTGTGTTAGTTTAGGGAAGTGTTTTTACCGCTCCCATGATTCAGCTCGCTCTCCTCATCCATGGGGTTGATGTGTGTGCGAGGCCAGTACTCCAGCAGAGCCTGAAGCAGAAGCCCGCCCAGATTCACTGCGCCACAACAAACACATTAACACACCTTCAGGATTTACCGTCACCATAAACATAAGCCTCTGGAGGGCGCTCTCACGTTTAGGGTCGGATCCGTCAGGACTGGAGAATCCAGCGTCTTTAGCAGAAACCCAGGCCGCAAAACAGTCGCTCTCGTCCAGCGTTATAGTCAACATCTGTCAATCAAAAGCCAAAAGATTCTCAACAGACCTGACAAACACTAAATCTGTGTTACCTTCAAATTCAAGGACCACAAACGCACGCATGCGCAGAGCTGCAGCTCCGCCATCTTGGACTGAACGCAACACCGCTGTCATAGACTTGAACGATACCAGTTCCATTAGAAAAGCGGTTAAGGGAACTAAATAGAGCTCGGCCGTAGACGTTATGGAACAGTGCATTATGGGTAACGGCAGCCATTTTAGCGGTAACGCAAAGGCCGGTTTGGAGTAAGTTAATAGCTTAGCAGGCTGGTCTCCAGCACCGGCACCAAGAGTTATGGACCTTTACAAACCTAAAGTAATACCCACCGGACGAAGAAGGGTCAGCTCTCCACAGACCATAAAATATCCATTTTATTTTATTTTTCGTGTTCGCATTTATTAGGAAAAAACAATGTTACGGACGTGACAGTTCCCTGAAAGCGCCAATAAAAGACTGCTTTAAAACGTTCAGAGACATCAAAAAGAAAGCACAAAGCCTTTATTTAAAGTAAATTTCGTTTGGTATTAATTGTATCTTAATTTTGATCAATGTTGCACAAACAAATTACCTGGATTTAATCAATAATAAGTAAACATAGTAGCTAGACAATCACGACACGGAGGCGCCCGCCTGAACTGCAGCTCGTCTCATAAATGAACCGAAACTCAGCATAGCCTCCTTGCCTCACAGACCTGAGATCTCTATTTTTTACAGAACAATTCAAAACGAAAGATAACTATGTAATCCGTATGAAATGTGTATTTCTCACCGGCGCGTTCACTGTGAAGATCGCGAGTCAGCATCGTCAACTGGTGTGACACACACACACACACAGTCAGATTCTGTGAGCTATGAAGCTTGTCTATGCAGGTTTGTTACACCTCAGGAGTAATTACACACCTATCATGGGTACAATAATCCACTATTTTCGTCCGGTAGTTCTGTAATCCGGTATAATATTGGCGAACATTCACCTCAGACACAACCCACCGTTCACCAAAACAAGAGGCGAAACTGGTGAAAACTAACATGATTTATGAGGTGTTTGCCCTGTCGATCGTGAGACCGATTACAGCAGTTCACATTACATCAATACTGAACCATATTTTTTAAAATAACCTAAATTAAACCTAATATTATCAAATGACCAACGTTAGACTTTGAATTACCCACTGCCTACTATACAGTACATCCACTTCCGTACCGTGATTCCCACAATGCTTTGCGACGTGATGAAACGATCCCGAGCTCTATAGTCGTTTCTAGTGTTTATTATCTCTATAGCCTAAACTAAAGCGGCGTGTTGAATAATGTACAACAAAATAATGCTTATGGATCTTCATCTTGACTGATAAAAACTTTGTAGCCTACAACACGTGTTACATTTGATACAGAAAGAGAGAGTTAATGTACAGATTTACAGATGACTTAGCTTTAAAAAAATTCTGTAGCGCTTCTGTTTGGGCTGTGAGAGTAGTCGATTTTGGGTCCATAATATATGATGGATTTCTGACTATGTATACAAGAGTGTTTTTGCATTTTTCCTGTCACACACCTTCCCTGCACTCACTGCTGTTGTACACCTCCATGCCGCCATTTAATAGCTTCCTTCCCAGACCAACTGTGTGGATGACTGAGCTGATTTTTCTCCTTTATTAAGTTTATTTAAAAAAATTATTTCCAGACATTATGTTAATGCTGTATAGTTGTGCTAACGGTAAAGCCGTTGGTTCAGTGCAAAATGGCGACAGCAGCGCCATCTAGCGATGGTTGTCAAAACTGCAACGGAGTTTCGCCTCTTGGTACCATTGTAGTAGTTTCGTGTGTGCGTGAACGTCATGGCAACGTACAACACAAAGCACCTCACGGGGGGAACACTTAAAGCAACACTAAGTAACTTTTCCTCTGCGGTCACCCTACAGGTTGGAAGCGGAATTGTCTATTACCGCTGTCGTAAATACTTTAGCCTAGCGCAGCTAGCTGTTTATCCGGCACCGGCTTTGGACTGAACAATGTTGCATGATGCATGATGTCATGAAAGTATGATGTATTGTGACATTAGAAACGAAGAAAAACTAAATAATGACTATTGTAGCGCTTTGACGTAAAGCAAGTCATATTTGTAGTTTTCTTATGTCTCATGAGAACTACAGAAACGCGACCCGGTCTGGCAATCTTACACAGCGTGGTTATAGCAGATATAGGACCGCAAAGCGGAGGCAGAAGTGCCTTTCACCCTGTTACGACTTAATGAACCACTGAAACCATTTTGGAAACATTATTTTAAGGTAAAAAATCTTACTTAGTGTTGCTTTAATGTAACGTGTAAATGCTCGTAACTAACGTAAATCAAGCAATCTAGTGTGCATAGGCGTCGAAGTGTTGGCGAAACAACACATTAGCCGACCGGAGGGAATAATATGGAATTTTATCCAGAAAACTTCTTGCACAAAATAAATTCAATCACCTTCATCAAGGACTTGTATATTATATGTATGTTAATTTGCAAAAACGTCCCTTTTTTTTGGCCCGTGGGAACCCTGTGCAGTGACTTACCCCCGTCTTCAGATCCACTGAAAACCAGTTCGGCACATAAACCATCTTGAACCTTTTCTTGATCTCTTCATCAAACTCCATCTTCCCCAAGTCTTCAACTTTACAAGCCTGACAAACATCAGAAAACAAACCAGTTACACGACAACTAGCATTCGAATCAACCAATGAATATAACCGTTAATCTAACGCGGTACCTTAAGCACATCCCAGTATGCCACATTATTGTTGGTGTCTTTGGTCAGAATGTGTCTTTTGTCATTCAGAATGTGGCACTGAATTATACTGGCGCCACCTAGAGGTCAAGACATCAAATCAACATGCTGAAGATCCGGCTTAAAGATGATCATCATACATATCCCAAGTCAGTTTTATTATGTTTATGTTTCGCTGGATGATACAGCACCATAGCTGTGTATAAACAGCATAACACAAAAGAATACAATGAAAACTGCTCATCAAGCTCCTTTCCTGGTGTCTTTAACACACTAAAGAGACCCAACTCAAGACTGAAGATCATCCTGCAGACAGTCGTACCTTTAATAACCTGTTCGGGCTGCGTGTACAGTGGCGTCAGCGGCGCGCTGCAGTCGTTGTCATAATCTCCAGACGCTCGGAAATTATGGATTCCCTTTAGAGACTGAAACAGAGAAACATTGAATAAAAAACTCAATATAGACATGGAACATAAAACCAAGATTTGCCAAGAATTATATCGATTACGATAATTAGACGATATTTTGCGGTGTGTTTATTGTGCTGTACGTTGGCAGGTTTAGGACTGACTCATAAAGTCTTTGGTATTCTTCATATTCTGTGTGTTGGTCAGTTCACAGCAGTGACAGAAATCATCTTTCCAATTAGTTTCAATTGATTTTAACCTTTAATGGGCATTTTTACCTTTATAAAGTAATTTTTTCTAACCTCATTAAATGTATGCATCATCGTTTGCGTCAAATTATTATATTTAATGAATAAATTAAATTAGAATAATAATGAAATTAAAATTAAAATTAGAAAAAACACTGCAAAAATGCTTTTTTTTACTTAGTATTTTTGTCTTGTTTCCAGTCCAAATAAATAAAAGTTCTTAAATCATGATGTATTTACTAGATGGGTAAAATGACAAGATTTTATGTCTTGTTTCCCGTGGGAATAAATCAAAATTAAATGAGTTTTTGCTTAAAACAAACAAAATTTTCTGCCAATGGGGGAAGAAAAATTATCTTAATTCAAAGAGAAACAACATTTATTTAACAACATATTTTTCTTCCCCCATTGGCAGATAATTTTGCTTGTTTTAAGCAAAAACTCACTTAATTTTGATTCATTCCCCCGGAAAACAAAACATAATATCTTATAGCATTTTACTAAAGCAAACGCATCTTGATTTAAGAATTTTTTTTATATTTGGACTGGAAACAAGACAAAAATACTAAGTAAGCAAAGCACTTTTTTGCAGTGAGGGCTGTTGCCAAATAAAATTAAATCAGTTTCAACAAAATCGAGAAACTGAAGTGGATTTAGATGCTTTTACACAGACTTTTTAATGCAGATCAGAGGGACATGAATGTGTTTAACCTGCTGTTACCGTTTTGATATTTTAAACATAAAACGTTGAATATTGATATTAGAAATTATTTAAAAAGAAAGATATTTTAAATGTGAAATAAAAACCGCTAATAGGTGGCAGCAAGTCACCGTTAATGAATGAGTCATTCAAAACAGCCGATTCATTCAGGAACGAAGCATTTCGCTGTCTTAATGAGCGAGTCATTCTTGAGTCATTCATTCAGTAATGATTCGCTCAGAGATGCAAAACAGTCCTGTGGGTTTATTTGAACCAATATTCATTGGCGAAATAGTAATAATACTTTGTGTCTAAAATGTAAGTCACTTAATATTGACTTCTTGTTTATTGAACTGTTGTATAAAATCAATGTAAAATTCGTAACAATGCTGATATTTGGAGAAAAAACTATATTTCTGACGGCCAATGTTGTCGTTTTTGCTATGAGCGGATGAAAAGCATAAACTTTTATGTATGTGCGAGTACCAATGTCCATGCATGATTACCAGAAACATTCAACCATTTAAAGATACGATCTGTGGACATAACTAAATAACTGGAAGATGATGACACCAGAAGCCAGACACAATCATTTTTACAAATGTCTGCGCCTGCTCTTACACAAAGAACAGGGTGGATAACATGCAACAAAAGATTACCTTAAATAATGCCACTGGACCACATCCAGGGAAAGGCGACACTAAATAATGACCCTCGTGACTAAACGAGCACGCTGCACAATACTTAAAGCTCAGTGTGTGACGTCACAACAGCTGGAGCAGCACAACACGCCGGGTGGACACCAGCTGCACTTACCCATTTATTAACCGTGGACTTCGTGGTGGAAACCCAGATGGCCGAATGCGGATCAGCTGACCTGTCCAGCTCCATCTGGAAGACACCCAAGCACATTCACACCTCAGTAACTTTACCTTACTCTCCATTACCAGGTCGTGGTCCACAGCTGGCGCAGGTGTTTGACAACATATATCCTACACATACTTGACACACTTTGTATTACACTCTATGCTTGCGAGTCGTTGTCAGGCGGAAATCTTGTATCTCCAAAAACGCTACTTTGCAGGAAATGGAAAAAACACTTTTTTTTATTACAAGATAATTAAACACCATATTTTCAAAGTTGCTATTGAGACTTTAAGTATGGTCAGACATTTGCATGTGTCATTATATTATTAATATTTGACCAAAATCAAGCTCAAATGTAGTTACGAGGTTTTTGACCAGCGAATTTTGTACACGCGTGTTATGTCCGTCATTAGAACGGCCACATCTGAGAAAGTAAGTGCGCCTTATTATATTTTCTTCAACTTACAGGTAATAAAGTTTACTGTAGCTATATGTGGGCGCTGTCATTTGGACAAAATCTCATATTAATAAAGAAGACGAAGTGCTTCTCACAGGCTATTTAAGACAGTATTTACTAGACTAAGACACTCTTCTCTGCTCCTCAAATACATAAAAACATTAGCCTTTATATATGTATAGTGTTTCTTGAGTAAAGAAAATGCTGTACTTATTAAAAGAACCAGTTCTTTATTTACCATTGCTTTGTAAACAAGCAGACGCTCCAGAATGTGTTCATCAAAGACAGAGGTGGGCGGAGTTATGAGGTTTGACTGACAGTTTGAGGAGCCAATGGAGTTACGAGATAGAGTCACAAGCTCTTTTTAATACTTTTCATTGCGTAAATATTTGCAAAAAGTGACCAATAGTAATGATTTATGAAAACAGACTAAAATGATGAAACATGGAGATACGAGATTTCCACCCGACAGCGACAATATAACTTTTGATTGTGGACTTCAGACAATAGGTTTTACTATTCTCCTCTATCTTCATCCTGTTAATATTGTAAATAAACAGATATCTGACCACTAAAATGACTTATAGGTTTTACCACACGGTTATTAAAATATAACAGAACATACCAGCTTACCCTCCAGCTCTAGTCGAATATATACATATAGAGTGTGTGTATGTTTACATGTATATATGAGACCCAGAAATGTTTCAACAGAAATCTGACTCTTAAATAAGAAGTTAAATAAACTTCCAGCATTTTGCTATTGTATGTGACTATCACACCTTCAACACAGGCGCTTTCTCCTCACAGATCAGCACCCGGATGTCAGGATTGCGCAGGTCTGTGCAGTAGATCTTGCGGTCGCGACCCCCGGAATAAACGTGTGTGAAGGCCTCGTTGACCTGCAGCGCCCAGACGCCCTCATCATGAACGCGGTATGTGGCGATACACCTCTGCTGACCCAGAGACCACAGCCGGATCGTCCCGTCAGAGCTCCCTGAAAGACACTGAACACACACAAACCAGGGCTGAACACAACAGGACAGAAAGGTGGAATCCAGGACTGGACTAGTGGGAATAATCTCGTTAAGATCGTATTTACGAGTGGGATTTTCTTTAAGCCCTGATCTTTACAAGTTGAGGGCGTATCACTGAGAAAAATGGTGGAATAACACAATACTTAAAGGGATAGTTCACCCCAAAATGTAAACTCTGTCATAGGGCTGGATGATTAATCGAAAAATTATCGAAACTGATATTCAGAGCCTATAACCGACGTAATTTTACCATGTCGGTTATTTCGGTTTTTTAATCCTATTCATATTCAGAGAAAAAAAATGCACAAGCGTGGTTTCTCCAGAGAGAAATCGGAGCTCATAAGCAAACGCCGCTGAGACATGTCACTTGTCTTTGCGGGTTGTGTGTGAACGCACTCTGGGAATCTCTGTGTGAAAGGGAACTCAAACACTGAGTCAACTCAGCAACAGGAGCCGCTTGTACCAAAGAAACACGTGAAAAAAGAGAGAGACTGACAAACGCCCAGCAACAAGTGCCTCCACTCCACAAAGCAGGTTTCGATAACACAAGCATTTACAAATGCTACACAATATGAAAAGGATTAGTTTTTTAGTTTTATACAAGTTATATTTTACTTTTAAGATGGCAATATTTACAATAATTAATTTTGTTTACAAAAAGAACTATTTTCTACATTTTTAGGAAACTTTCTCTTTACATTAAAACTTAAAGGAGAACTCCGGCGCAAAATGAACCTTTGGTCTAATTACACATTGTTACCTAGTCAACCGTTATCTGAGATTTGTTTTCATGATTATCGAATGTAAATAGTTTTATCTCTAAAAACAGTTTAGCCTATAAAGCTAGTATAACGCTAGTATATTGGGCACAGTGTTGTGCTAGTTACTAAGAAATAGTAACTAGTTACAGTTACTAGTTACTTCATTCAAAAAGTAACTCAATTACTTTGTTGATTACTTGCACCAAAAAGTAATGCGTTACTGTGAAAAGTAACTTTTTAGTTACTTTTTTAAAGAAAGTTCTTTAATGTTCCCATTAATGCCCTTTTATGTGTTATGGTCTATACAAACACAAAACTGACTTAAACAGAAAGTAATTTTTAAACACTATTTTATTTAAGTCAGACCAGCACAAACTGAATATATCACAAGGATTTCTGAAATAAATAACAAAACAAGCATGTGTAAAGCTAGTGATGTGTTTGCTTTCTCAACATTGATATGTTCATGCAGCTGACAGTAATACGTTTTTACTGCATGAATGAATATTTGAGCAATACAATTGTACCTTGATCATTCTTGTTAGTTCATAGTAGGCTAATTAACTAAGGTAATAACAGATACAATAACAATTTAAACTCAATTTCAAATGTATTAAGTAAATGTTGAAATTAAAAAACTAACAATGAATGATACTTCTACAACATTTATTAACCATATTTAATGCTAAAATTGTAATCTCATTGTAAAGTGTTACCATTTTATATGATTCAAGCTTATAGAAGATGGCCATATTTAAATATCTGCAAAGGCCAGAGCATTAAAATTACATAAATGTAGACCTATATATTACATGTATAGTCTTTCACTTTATTTGCTTAAATTTTAGAACACTTGATTAGGAAACTTGATGTCGCTGCATGAACATATCAATGTAAGCAATCACGTCAGCTTTAAAAATACAACTTCGCCGGCTAATGAATGCATAACAGTGACCAGCTGGATATAAACTAATGCAAATAGATGGTAACAATTGCGACATAAAACATCTGGGTCAGGTCTGCGTGTGTTTTTGTCACATTGCTTTAATCGCTTGAGGTAAGTTAGCCGTTACTAATGTTATTCCTCTCAGACTCGACGGCAAGCTTCTGTTCTTTCTCTGTTGATGCAGCATCTAGACAAAATATTACTTTATAATGTTATGGCAATGTGTACTTTAGTGTTCTGTATTCATACCGTTTCGCTGTCTGTGTTTTAAATGCGCATCTGAAGTGCTCAGCGCTCTCCGTGCAGCTTGTAATCTCCGTGCTCGCGCTGCCTCACGTGTTAACGTAAACAACTCAGCCAGTGAGTTTATGTGTCCTCTCGCTCTGTATAATGCTAGCAGTCTCTTCAGTGATCTCGTACTGTGTAACAGCGCACACTTCTCAGCCGCTCCAGCAACTAATTAATTTAAAAAAGTAACGGACAACGCACCATATGGTAACGATAACGGAGTTACTTTATTTAAAAAGTAATGCGTTACAGTATTAGTTACTGTCAAAAGTAACTGCGTTACAGTAACGCGTTACTAGTAACGCGTTACTGCCCAACACTGATTGGGCATAGTGTAATGACAAATAAAAATCGCTTGTTAATACCACTAACAAGGCTCAAAATAGCCCCACACTAACACGCTAGCATAATGAGGGTCCCTGCCTTCAAACCGAAGCATTGAGAACTTTGTCAGTGTCCAGACAGTTTAATAACAAGATATTTTAAACATACAGTCAACTTCGCGTATACAGGCAGGAGCCATCTTTGGAATACAGTCTCTACCAGTCGATCTACGAACCCCGATCCAAGTGCGCTGGTGAGAATGTGAACGAGCTATGAGTTGTGATAAGGTGAGTGCGAACAGCAGGCTTGGATCGGCGTTCGTACATCGACTGGTAGAGACTGTATTCCAAAGATGGCTCCTGTCTGTATACGTGAAGTTGACTGTATGTTTAAAATATCTTCTTATTAAACTGTCTGGACACTGACAAAGTTCTCAATGCTTCGGTTTGAAGGTAGGGACCCTCATTATGCTACCGTGTTAGTGTGGGGCTATTTTGAGCCTTGTTAGTGGTATTAACAAGCGATTTTTATTTGTCGTTACACTATGCCCAATATACTAGCGTTATACTAGCTTTATAGGCTAAACTGTTTGTAGAGATAAAACTATTTACATTCGATAATCATGAAAACAAATCTCAGATAACGGTTGACTAGGTAACAATGTGTAATTAGACCAAAGGTTCATTTTGCGCCGGCGTTCTCCTTTAATGACTTTTTTAGAAGACGTTTTTATTTCAAGCATTGTATGCTTTGTTTGATTCAATTGTTTGAAATATTAAAAAAATAAGCATTAAAAGCTATCTGTGTGTTTCCTTATTTTAGAATCACAAAGATAGGATTATGCACTCTTTCATTAGAAAAAATAACCGTGAACATATTTACAGTATAAGCCTTGCCAGTGACATGAGAAAGAAAAAAAATTAAAATAATCGTTCAATAATCGTAATCGAGGTAACTTGTTCGATTAATCGCGATTATGATTTTAGCCAAAATCGTCCAGCCCTACTCTGTCAGTAATGACTCTCCCTCATGTTGTTCAACCCCGTAAGACTTTCCTTCATCTTCTGAACACACATTAAGATATTTCTGATTAAATCTGAGAGCTGGATCACTCCTCCATAGGTGATCGAAACTTGCCGGCCCAGAAAAGTTATTAAAGACATCGTTAAAATAGTCCGAGTGACGACAGTGGCTCAACCTTAAGTTTATCAAGCGACGAGAATACTTTATTCCACTATTCATTTCCTTCTCTGTGGGCCTCGAGTGAGTTCACGTAGTGTAACAGCGCAGCGCTTCTGGTGTACGTCACACGCAGGCTCACTATTGGCTGACGCTGGTCATGTGTGTGATGCGTATGACTCTTGCTAGACTTTACAGCGAAGAATACCTGCACAGAATATGATGTCATTATAATATGACAATGAAATATGCAACGATAACGATTGCAGTGGCTTCATAAATTAATTAAAAACATAAAAAAACAAAGTACACCTGATGCACATTTCTTTGTTCTTCATTTTCTAGAACCAGAGTTTAAGAATCTTGCTGTATTTTTGTGTAATTAAGATAAAGTACACCGCCATCTTACTCCGACGAAAGTAAACACGACTTCACACAAACTTCCCAGGAGGACTTGAACGCACCACAGGACTAGTAGTTTTAATCACTTCTCCAGTCAACAAGAACAAGGGCCAGATTTACTAACCGCTTGTGCCAGCGCAAACCCTCTGTCGGCGTTAATGAACTACCGTCAGGATTCACTAAAGACACGCACTGCAAAATTAGCGCTGAAAAGGTGTGTTTTTGCGGCTGACCTTATTGCATGCATTTGTAGGAGTTTCCCTTTCAAACGCAAAAAATTATGGGAGAGTATTGAAATGAATTTACTAGTGCTGTCAAACGATTAAAATAGTTAACTCACGATTAATCGCACATTTTTATCTATTCTAAATGTCTCTTGATTTCTTTTTGTCTCATTTTTTCTCATTTTAATGCTCTTATCAACATGGAAAAGTGGATCGGCTTGCTTTGTGCAAAGGTTTTTTATTCGGCTTGCTTTGTGCAAACTATTTGGCCGGCTCGCAGACACAAACAAGTGTGAAATTCATTGAAATGAATGGGTTTCATAGCGCAGCGCCGCGTCCTGTTGCAAAAGCATGTGAAAAAAACTACAAAGTTTGCTAGGCCAAAAAGACCGTTAATCGCGCGATAAAAAAATTGACGCCGTTAAAATGGGTTTGCGTTAACGCCGTTAATAACGCGTTTAACTGACAGGCCTAGAATTTACTAATGTTTGCACTAGTCAATTTACTGATATATGTGCCATTATTTAACGCAGCAAAAAGCATGTCTTAACCCATTCTGCAACATGGCTGCAATTGTTGCTGCTAGGAGGAGACCCTGCAGAGAACAGAGAGCACGTGGTAGAAGTAGAAATATTTTTCCACTCGTATTAATTTCGTTGGAATGCCAGGAGGAAGACGTTATCCAAACATATCATTTGCCAAGCCATGTTATTATTAATTTGCTGCAGGAAATAAAAGACGACTTGGAACCCTCAACTAGGAGTCACGCAATTTTGTGTCCTCTGGCTCTTTTCAACGTACTGTGGCTTCTTTAGCTGGGATTTCACAGTCCGCATTTTTACCTGCGTTATCCGTGGTCCCAATGCTAATTTGGTAGATTGCGTTGTTCATTATGTAAATGACTGCGTCTGTGTTAGAGCAGTAGATCACGCGCAAAAGCTGCCACTCCTTTCGGCGCATTTGAGGAATTACACTCGCGCTAATTTGTCCAGTTTAGTAAATCTGCCCCTAAAGGCCTGTTCACATCGGGACGAAATTCACGCGCGATATTCGCCGACGTTTAACGCCTCGTGACTAAACAAAGGGCGCCAATGTGAGTGCACACCGACGCAAAAAACGCCACGCGTAAAAGCGCCATTTTTTTTTTTTTAAACGCCTCGGGTTCGTTTTTTTGGTTTGACGCGCCACTTCAAAAACTATCCGACCAATGAGATTGGCGCTTTTGCTGACGTGTTTGGAGCTTCTGAAGTTACAGTAAAACACAACTTGGGGGCGCTCAAACACAAAACGGTATTGCCGAGCACACACACGTAACGGCGAAGAAGATATACGCCAAGTAGCGTCTACACTGCCGGGAAGAAATAAGACGAGGAAGATGCAAGGCAAGATGAATGTAGAGCTGCTGGTCTCGTTGGTGTCGGAACAAAGAACTATATGACAAGCACGTAAATACCGTAAATACTTGCTCTCTTCGTCTGAGTGACAAGCGAGTGTCAGAAGCGTAAAGTTGCGCAGCGCCACCTTGTGTACCGGGGTATTTCTGTTTTACATTAAGCGCCATCTAATGTCAGGGAATGAATTTGCATGTTCACTCGGCTCATCGTCAGCCGAATTCGCTTGGGTGTGAACACAAAAATCGCGTTGAAAAACGCTGGCGAATAACGAGATTCGTCCTGGTGTGTACGGCCCTTAAGATTGGCGTTTATAATTGTTGTGAATAAGATTGAACATGCGTTGTTAAACTATTGAAATATTAACCTCAATTATAAGGAGGAGTTGAAGAAAACATTTTAGTCTTGATCTAACCTGAGTTCCATCTCTGTTTAGCAGCAGTGATTTGACGTTGTCTGAATGTCCCTTCAGTTTCATTAGTTTGGCACAGGTGCGCGGGTCCCACACTCTCAGAACCTGAAGTGAGGAAAACAAATCAATTAAATAAAGACGATGTGAAATTATCGGCATCAGAAAGAGACTCAGAACGTCAGGCAGTTGTTATATATGACAGATATCATAAGAACCTGAAGAATTCAGGCAATATTGTGAGAAAAAGAAGAATAAAAAACAATATATTGATTTATTATTGCATCTGTACAACCCAGATGTATCATTCTATACATACTGAAATGAAACTAACTTTATTTACTCTTTTAATATGTCCCTGATCAAAAAAGACTGAAAATGTAATCAAGTCTCCATAACAATAATGTTAACCAAAAATGCATGGCAGAAATGAGATTGATCACTAAGATTATGTCACTCAGGAATGAAATGTCAAACCTTTTCAGTGGATCCCGACACTATAACCGTCCCCATCTGATTCATGGCCAAACTGTAGATGGAGTCCTTGTTCCCGCTGAGAGAAGACGCTGTAGAGCATAAAGAAAGATTTATCTTTAAACACAAACTTAAATTCAGGATTCAGTGATTCTTTAATACATATTTTGGGTCTACTGATAAAAGGCACCAAACAAAAGTGTAAAGTAACTATTTTTTTGGATTGTGAATGCAATAGACCAGTGGTTCCCAACCTTTTCCAACTCGCGGCCCACACAACCAAACACGCAAGTTTCCGCGGCCCACTGCAATAATTTTTAAACGGACCCGACTATTTTTGTCAGAAAATAGAGATAATGGGTTATCGAGCCCAGAATCAAATCGGCTGCTCTAGCCTTCATGCAGAAATATCAGACTTTTGTCCCGTCCATTCCTATGATCACTGCCAATCATTGCAATTTTGAAGGATAGTTCACCCAAAAATTTAAATTGTCATAATTTACCCTCAAGTTGTTCCAAACCTGTATAAATGTCTTTGGTTCTGCTGAACACAAAGAAAGATATTATGACAAATATTTGTAAGCAACTAAAACTAACTTTTTGCCACACCTGCCAATGGCCGGTGACTTTGAGAACATTTACTAGCCTTAAACATTTGTTAAATGGCCACGAAACCAAAATTTTAGATACCAGTGAAAATTCTCAATTCTCTATTCCAATTTCAATGCCACATCTAAAACTACTAGCCTAACTGATATACATTTAAAACATTATTAAAGACAAGTAACAGTAGTTTTCAGGACGAGACATCGAATAAAGTAATCAAATGTAAAACACTAGATAGTCTTCTCTGTATAAATCAAACATAGATCAATTCTTATTAAACTTACAGAAGTTATTCAGTCAAGAGCAGAGAATGATTTTTTCTTTGTCCTTTGTTGTTTGATTAACATTAAAATCAGAAAGCAGGAGAAATATTAGGCTGCTGTCACTTTAAGAGTGAATGCACGGATCTAATATACTGATACACGTGTTGTCTTTCCTTACTGTTTACATTCACTTGAGCCTTAACCGGCTCTGTTTACTAGGATAATGCCGAGACGAGTATTTTTTTTGTGAAATTGTCCGTTCACGTGGAAGACAAAGCGAGAGAGAACTCATTTCAGTATTTGCGCGATGTCGCTTACGCACATAAAACTTCCCTCGCAGCGTGTAAATAATGAATCGAGTTCTCTTTTGTGTCTTCTTGCGCTTGCATCTTTATATTGCCATGGCTTAAAGGATAATTCTGGTATTTAGCACTTTGGGTCTATTTTCTTTTTTGTTTTGGATGAACTAGAGTGGTGGACAGAAATTGACAAAAAATTCGTTTTCAAAACTGTGAAACTCACCGAGTGGTTAGTGGTGTTCGTTGATGATTAAAAACAAATATATCGGCGCAACGTATGATTTCAATCCGTGTTATACTATTTTTTCAGATACCTCACAACCGCGTATAAACTTCCGCTCGATATTTGAGTCTGAAGCGTTAGCACACTCCCGACCACTTGATGGTAGCGCAGTAATATCAACGAGAAATGAGTCCTCCAACAGAAATCAATGCGATTTTACAAAATGCCAAATAAAACACGACAGAAACTGTATTTCGCTACACTACTTGTTTTGGAACATCAACGAACACCACACAGTTTTGAAAACGAACGTTAAGGGTTGCTTTAACCCTTTAGAACCGGCTGTGTCGTCGCCGACACAGACCAGCAAGCTGTATTCATTGTAGCAGCTACCGTAACTCTTCAACCGTTCGCACTATCAAAACCATTCAAATTGCCCCTGACAGTAGACAACATGCGCTTTTCGCCAATATACGGCTTATTACGGTAATTCCGTCAGCAAATGACAGCAGCTTTCTGGCAGAGCGGGAAGGAAGGATTTGAGCAGAGAGATACGAAGCGCGGCAGGTTAGAGTGTTTTGGATTGCATAAAATAGTAAAAGAAACGAACAAATACATCGCGAAAGAAGTGGTAGACAGCAGAAGAGGGGATTGGGATGATTTTTAATGAAACTTGGGAGGCGGATGGCCGTTACTCTTTCACGTATCTTTACATGTGGTGTGTGCATGTGCCTATGAATGGACGCATTTGTATGTGTGAGTGTATGAAAAGAAGTGTCCTAAATGAAAACTGTGCAACCCAATGTCACAAAAAAGACTTGTATCTGATGTATTATACTTCATTTTTCAACTTTAAAGTGTTAGTTCCTTTCGTTTGTGATTTTTCTGGGGGTTTTTCTAAATAAAAATCAGAAAAAGTATTCTCGTTTTTCAATTTTTTTGTCTATTTAAATTCTATTTACAAACTCACCACACACAATAATGGTCAATAACTGTAATTTGTTGAAAGCTAATCTTTTTCTGAAAAAGATGACACCTTGCACATGAAGATAGCACATTATTTTAGAATTTTGCAGTCAAAAAATCAAAATGTGTTAAAAACACCTATTTTAGCTTGAGGTTCTAAAGGGTTAAGGACAGGTTTGTGCATGCCCGTAGACAGCCACTCTGAAGCGGTCAAAGGCGAGTCAAAAAGAGACAAAATTTCATCCAAAACAAACTAGAAAATAGACTCAAAGTGCTAAATACCGGAAGTCTCCTTTAAACTTTTATGGCGTCGGCCTGTAACTGTCCTGAGCGTCCTTCATGTTTGTTTACCGTTTTATACTTGCCAACACAGATTTTTACTCGCATTTGCCGCTTGGCGAGTGTTCATGTTAGACCCTGTTTGTAACCAAACAGTTGTGGGGCACAATTGACTTTCTATAGTATTTTTATTTTTTCATACTATGGAAGTCAATGGTGCGGAACAACCGTTTGGTTACAAACATTATTCAAAATATCTTTTGTATTCAACAGAATAAAGAAACTTATACAGGTTTGGAACAACTTGAGGGTGAGTAAATGACAATTTTCCTTTTTGGGTGAACTATCCCTTTAATCAATGATGCTGTCTACACTGCACAATACATTTCATGGCAAAAATGCTGTCTACACTGTGTTTGTTAAAATGAGAGGATTCACAAACAAAAAAACTCTGGCGTTTTGAGTGATGAGTGGACTAACTTGTCTAACTTAAACTCCTCTGATTGGCCGTTGCATTGAAGGAATCAACAGATATGTCTGTGATTGGCTACACTGCTCAACCCTGCAAAAGCACGTTGTAAATAGCACCATTTGACGCTCTCCGCAGTGCAAACACAAAAACCAAAATCCTATTACTACAGCTTTAACTGAGGGTGCTAAGAGACCAACAACGGACATCTTCCTGACTCAGCTAATGCAAAGATTGGTATTGTTAAGCATGTACGAAACACTGTTGCAAACGGAGATCAGGCTTGGCGTAAAGCTCCGGAAAAATAATGTGTAAAGCTAAAATAAGCTAAATAATATAAAGCAACATGGCTGTTTGTTCTCCCACACATGTGCTACCGCTAGCTAGTCACTACTGTATTTTCTTGGTCTAGCTTTATTTTTAGTCTTTTTGATGTCAGGCATTGCTGAAGATTTATCCTTACTTGTAGATGAAGAAACATCTGCATTTGTCCTTTTCAGCGACCCTGTTGATAACCATTCATCCATGTTTAAATCTGTTGTTGCCTACAGTATGCAGCAAAAGTATTGGTGGTTTATTCTTAACACAACCGAACAGCGAGCGTAAATAGTGAACACAGTAACAGTTATTTTTGGTTATTTCATTATATTTTTAACTATTATATGTAATTAGACAGTTTTACATAACAAAATTATTATTTTTAATTAATAGTAAATGGCGCCCCCTTGCAATATCGTCGCGGCCCACAGGTTGAAAACCACTGCAATAGACCAATAAATGATCATTTAGTCATAACACTTTACAATAAGGTTTCATTTGATAAAGAACGGTTTGGAAGCGGCATAACATGAACAAACAATGTATAACATTTGTATTAACTAACATTAGCAAAGGTTAATTCATGCTGTAAAACACATACTGTTCATTATTAGCTAATGCATTAACTAATGTTAACAAATAAGACCTTATTGTAAAGTGTTACCACCATTATAATATCAAAAAGTCTATTTTTTTTTATTGTTCTGCATCAGTTATTAGACACTTAAAGTCCCCCTGTGGTGAGAATCCAGCTTTTAATGTTGTTTATGTGTCTATGTGGTGTTTTTAATCTGCTTTAAGACACACCATGTGTAAGTTCATAAGTCGACAGCATTGCTGAGTATTTTCTGCTTAAAACTGCAGTGAACCAAAGACAGTCTCAAAAACACGGTTTGAAATCGCTGGTGTTTCTGACGTCACAAACGACCTTGTAACCAATCAGATCAACGTGTGATCGTCAACCAGTGGATCTCTGAGCTGAGGGAGTGAGTGGAGGCTCATTTGCATATTCATAGACCCGCGCATACTAAATGAGGCACGGGTGTCGAGTTACATTCAAGATATTTTATATCAAGGACAAAATGCTTAAATATGTAATTTTGGTGATCAAAGATGAGTTTTAAGGGATGCAATGACTGACTACAGGGGGACTTTAAATATAATAATCTGTATTGTTATTGAGCCAAAAATCAATATCAGTCGCCCTGTAATTTGAATCAGAGTAATTGAGAACTCACTAGTGACAGTGTTATTGGATGCGGTCAGTGCTGTGAGTGTGTTCACGTCCCAGAGGAAGATCTGTCGGTCCAGCCCGGCCGAAGCCACCAGCTCTTTGTCTTTAGCATACGCCAGTGCTTTCACATAGTCCTACATAAACACACACACAAATACTAATCAAAAAAGTATTCAAATTATTGAAAGTAGAACACCAGATACAGTGCACACGTTGTTTCATTGTGAAATATTATTACAATTTAAAATAGCTGTTTTTTATGTGAATATATAGTAAAGTGTAATTTATTCCTGTGATCAAAGCATCATTACTCCAGTCTTCAGTGTCACATGATCCTGCAGAAATCACTCTAATATGATGATCTGATGCTCAAGAAACGTATATTATTATTATCAATGTTGAATGAATGTTTTTTTTCAGGATTCTTTGATGAATAGAAAGTTCAAAAGAACAGCATTTATCTTAATAGAAAGCTTTTGTAACATTATACACTACCGTTCAAATGTTTGGGGTCCGTAAGAAATATTAATAAAATAAATCAATACTGTTATTCAGCAATGATGCATTGAATTGATCAAAAGTGACAGTAAAGACATTTATAATGTTACAAAAGATTTTATTTGAAACAAATGAAATAGAACTTTCTATTCATCAAAGAATCCTGAGAATTTTTTTTTACATGTTTCAACATTGATAATAATAATGAATGTTTTTTGAGCATCAAATCATCATATTATACTGATTTCAGAAGGATCATGTGACACTGAAGATTCAGCTTTCATCACAGGAATAAATTACATTTTAAAATATATTCAAATAGAAAACTGACATATATTTCTATTCAAATATTTTAAATTGACATAATATTTAACAATATTACTGTTTTTTTTTATTGTTGTTGTTGTATTTTTAATCAAATAAATCCAGCCTGGGTGAGCAGAAGAGACTTCTTTTAAAAGCATTAAAAATCGTACAGATCCCAAACTTTTGAACGGCAGAAATAAAACAATCTTCAGGATAAACAATTAAGGATATCTGGTAACACTTTACAATAAGGTTCATTAGTTACTGTATTAACTAACATTGAGCAATACATTTGTTACAGTGTTTATTAATCTTTGCTAATGTTAGTTAATAAAAATACAGCTGTTCATGTTAGTTAACAGTGCATTAACTAATGTTAACAAATACAACCTTTGATTTTAATAATGTAGTAGTACATGTTGAAATGAATATTAACTAAGATTAATAAATGCTGTAGAAGTGCAGTTCATTGTTAGTGAATAACTCATGAACCTTATTGTAAAGTGTTACCGGATATCTATACGATAAGGAAGCAGTTTTTCTTGGATCTCGAGGGTTTCTCACATTAAATAATTCAAAAATCATCTGCATTTAAACAGCTCAGGATATTCACTAGTGATGAAGCGTGTTCTTTTCCTGCAGCTCTGGAGTCATTAGTCACATGACAGTACCTTGTGCGTTCGCAGCGTTGACATGCAGAAGCCCTTGTGTGCGTTCCAGACCTTCACTGTGGTGTCTGATGACGCCGAGATCACTGTAGAGACAACAGACACATGTATATCTGTGCCGTACACACACACATCTGTGCCGTACACACACACATCTGTGCCGTACACACACAACAACGGCCCTGCGCTTGTCAGACACTCACGTGTTTTCCCGTTGCAGCACAGGACGATGTCATTGACCCAGTCTGTGTGGTGCTCCATTGATGCAATGTACGGATCCTGCTGCAAGACATTTACATTTCATCATTCAGCAGACGCTTTTATCCAAAGCGACTTACAATTGAGGAGAACAGGAGAAGCAATCAGACCAGCAAGAGGGCAAAGTGCTGTAACAAGTCTCAGTTAGTCGAGCACAATACACAAAGCAAGTTTTTTTTTGATCAGATATATAGATACAGATAGATAGTTTTATTTAATGCCATGTCAGCATCTAAGTACAGAGCCCCTAAAGCAAGGCTATTCAATTCATTTGGGATTGGGAGCAGTTCATGAAACTGAGGCAAAATAAGGGGCCACTTTGTTTTAAAAAGTGGGTGGGACATTGCTAACACAATGCTAATTCATAAATCAGATGTATGTACAATAACATTACGATGTCCAGCAATCGATTTAAATAGTACATTGGGTTTAATTTGTCGTTTAATGAGGTCTAATATATGGTGTTAGTATTTTCACGTGAATAAATACACAGATCCGACTATTTTAAGTGTGTATTTTAATGGTCCAGTGGCAGAGCTTTTGCCATGCGTGTCACATGTGCGCGAGTCACACCAGAACACAGTCTCCACGCCATTGATCGAAGCGACAATGAGCACTTGATTTCAAAAACAACACATTTCAGCGCTTATTTCGCCTCTTATTTAACAAACGAACAAAATGGATGCTCTGCTAGTTAACTGTAGATGTTTTATTTATTTGTATTGGTACATTTGTGCCGCGAGATGTTTCAAAAGTGGTGGGGGACAATATTGACCTTAGCTAAAAGTGGTGGGGACATGTCCCACCCGTCCCAGCCGCAAATTACGCCGGTACAAAACCCCTCAGGGGCCGGACCCGGCCCTGGGGCCGCCAATTGAATAGCCCGGCCCTAAAGGGACCTTTGCAAAAATAAAAATATACAGACTTTCACATGCTCACGAGAAACATGCGCACGCGATAGTGCTCACATGAAAGTCTGTATATTTTTATTTTTGCAAAGGGCCCTTTAGGGGCTCCGTATCTAAGGCTATTTTCATGGCAAAAATTAAATTACAAAAATACAAATATCATATAAATACAATGAAACCAGGCAAACAAACACAACAAGTCATATTAAACATTCTTTTTTAAAATGAACATATGATAAAAAAAAATCCAAAATCTTTTCAGTCATAATCTTACTAAATTAGTTTTAAATCAGAAAAACAAAAAGAATAGAATCGTATAGAATAGAAAAGGTAAGTGCTAGAATGAATTGGTCAGGTGCTGATGGAAAAGATGTCTTTTTTGAAACCGAGACGCGCAGGAAAGAGCAGTGACGTCACGTCACCTCTCAGCTTTGAGGTCACATGATCGACAGGTCTACCTTGTGCTGGTTGACGCTCCATATCCTGATGATGGAGTCTCGTCCGGCGGTGAAGAGCCGGTTAAGAGCTGGGTCCAGCTGTAGTGCGTTGACTCCATTACGATTATATTTCTCCACCTCGTCTCTGATCACATACGACACCTGCAACACACACACGCTCAGAACTAGCCATTTCATCCATTAATCGGACACTGAAGACGAGAACGGCATGTATACATTTATTAATCGCACTCGCACTCGAGGCGGGAGCGTAATGTACGGTATGAAGAAATAAATGCCAGAACATGCACAGTAATCCTTTATTTGATGTTGTGTCATAATACAGTATTAGAAACATTGTTTTTCTTTGTTTAAAATATAAATACCTCAAAATGCAAGGTGTCGAGGCACGTTTTTTTTTAATCATCTTTTAACATGTTTACATAGATAAACTATAAAAGACATTTTCGGCACACAAGACAAAAAAATATGCTTTTGTAAATCATAATTATGACAAAGTCAAAGTTATGACAAAAAAAACGTAATACAAAGTCATATTTTTAGGCTTGTTATCTCATAAATATAATTTATGAGATAAAAAGTCATAATTATGAAGTTCTCTGTCATATCCTGAAAATATCCCCTATTTTACTAAATGTGCATTAAAATAACCAAAAACTTTAGAAAACACATTTTGGATGTACAATGATAATAAAAAACACTTTATTTGACAGTGTCCTTGTTACACGTTATATGTAGTTACTGTAACGTGTAACAGTACATTGGATCCGTGCATGCACTCTTAAAGTGACAGCAGCCTAATAAACCTGCTGCTGTCCGTCATTAGTGATAATCAAACAACAAATGACAAAAGAAAATCACTCACTGATCTTGACTGATTAACTTCAGTAGCTTTAATAAGGATTAATCTATATTGAATGTGTGCAGTAAGACTCCAGTGTTATTTTACATTTGATTATTCATATTTTTGCTGT